AACTGTCCAACCCCCAATACAGTTAATCTATTACACATATCCGTCACGACCCGTCACGACCCGGGGTAGAACAATGTCTTCAGAAACCCATGCTTGCCGTGGGTGGCGACTGTGAGTTGTGGTAAGAGGCGACTAACGGGATCGGGTGGTCAGGCTCGCTGACTTGGTTCTTACTTGTCATCGTATCACAACTGCGTGGATTGATGCTCATGATGTCAATCACTGGATTGTCTGGTCCAGACTCTATTGTTTACAGACCGTCATCGTGTAGCTAGAATATTGGAGTGCGGCGTTAAACAAAAAAACAAACAAACAAACAAACAAACAAATGGTTTGACATGATGTCAAAGACTGGTTTGCATGTCCCGGACTCGATTATTTACAGACCGCCGTCACAAAATTGGAATATCGCTGAGTGCGGCGTTAAAGAAAAAACAAAACAAACAAAAGATGTAGGCTATAAATGCGTCAGTACACAAACCTGTTACACTCTACCGCCAGAGTATTAGATATTAGATATTATATATGGGTAGTATTCAGCATGTCGTATATACACAGTAAACATGTCAGCACGTTTTATAAGCTGTCTCGAATGTGTCGCAAGTCGACCTCATTATAACTGTTCCCGTTTCGGGACAGACGGACACATAAACAAGCTACACCACAGAGCTCATTGTTTAATTCATGAGATTTGTCCAGAAACTAGGCAACTGTAACTGAGGTCAACGGTGTTTATCTGCAAGACCCAGTGGCACTTTTTGCATACTCGCGAGACAGTTTGATACAGACGTTTCGTCATTCTAGACTAAATCCTTTGTCGATTGATTGATTGTATGATTGATTGATGGTTTGCCATCTGTTCGATCGGTAAACCCATTTCTTGTGACTTGATATCACTGAAAGCGGCGTATGACTATTCTCACCAACACCGATATAACAGCATTATGCATGACATGTATCCTGAAGACGTGACACGCCGCAGAGAGTGAGTCAGTGAGTGAGTGAGAGTGGTTGTACGCCGCTTTTAGCAATATTTAAGCAATATCACGCCGGGGAAACCAGAAATGAGTTTCACACTATGTACCCATGTATGGAATCGAACCGGGATCTTCAGCGTGACGAGCGAACGCTGTATCCACTTGGCTATCCCAGCGCCCCCACCGCATTGAAAGTTTAGTTCAAATTGACTCAGGCTCATGTGTATATTACTCTCAATGTGAATTGCTGCTTTTGATGTCAGCACGATTTAATCGTATTTCATAAACACGGTCATGATTTTGTGGGGATACAAGGGACTCTGCTTTTTGCCGACATTTCTTGTGACTATGGAAACGGGTTTGTGGCTTTCATTGTAAAGACGCACAGCGCACATATCTATACAACCGCCCGCTTATATATCCACCCACCAATGTATCCACCTATCTGCTCATGAACGCACTTATTCTTCCGTCCACTCACATATCTGTCCACCTAAAGTCTTATCGATCTATCCACTGATATATCTATCCATATTATCTCTATCCTTCCATCCATTCACATAACGTCCGTGAAGATCTTGGTTAGAATTGATCTTCAGCAAGTACAGTAAACTACGTTTATAACGAACACGCTTATAGCGAACTTACAGATATAACGAACCCGGCCATTTGTTATATATATTATGTATATATACTTATACCGAACTACGGTTATTACGAAATAATATTAGTGGTTCCCTGAGTTCGTTATAACCGTAGTTTTTTGTATGTCCAAAGAGATGACTAACGGTATCGGGTGATGCGCGTCATCGTATCCCAATTGCGTAGATCAATGATTATAATGCCAACCACTAGATTGTCTGGTCCAGACTCGATTATTTACATACTACAGTCATATAACTGGAATATTCCCGAGTGTGGCGTTAAACAATGAGCAATCTCTATCAATCCATCCACTCACACATCAATCCACTCACATATCTATCCATCCAATCCCCGTCCATCCATTCACATATCTGTCCATCCAATCCCCGTCCATCCATTCACATATCTGTCCATCCAATCCCCATCCATCCATCCACTCACATGTCTATCCATCCAATCCCCATCCATCCATCCACTCACATATCCGTCCACTCACATATCCGTCCACTCACATATCTATCCATCCAATCCCCATCCACCCGCTCACATAACTATCCATCCATCCATCCACTCACATATCTATCCATCCAATCCCCATCCATCCATCCACTCACATATCCATCCACTCACATATCCACCCACTCACATATCTATCCATCCATCCATCCACTCACATATCTATCCATCCAATCCCCATCCACCCACTCATATCTATCATCCATCCATCCACTCACATATCCATCCACTCACATATCCACCCACTCACATATCTATCTATCCATCCATCCACTCACATATCTATCCATCCAATCCCCATCCACCCACTCATATCTATCATCCATCCATCCACTCACATATCTATCCATCCAATCACCATCCATCCACTCACATATCTATTCATCCATCCATCCACTCACATAACTATCCATCCAATCCCCATCCATCCACTCACATATCTATCCATCCAATCACCATCCATCCACCCACATATCTATCCAACCAATCCCCATCCATCCATCCACTCATATATCTATCCATCTAATATATATCCATCTAACCTCCATCATCCATCCATCAACTCACATACCTCTCCATCTGGGTGTCAGACTACCATTGTTATATTCAGTTCGTCGTATTTACACGTAAACATGTCCATATGTATTAAAAGCTGACCCTAATGTGTCCCGAGTCGACGTTTGTATAACTGTCCCCGTTTCTGGACAGATGGCTTAGTAAACAGGCAGGGCCTCGACGCGACATAAAGTACAACGTCACCACATAGAGCCTCCAAAATCTGTCCAAAAAGGAGGCCACGTCAAAGGAGGTCAACACAGTTTATCTGCGAGATCCAGTCGGCAGTTTTTCATTCGCGTTAGACAAAGTTTGGTACATACGTGTTTATAGCTAAATCCTAAATATATTGTATTTTACCGATTGTAGATTGATCTCAACAGAGAAGAACTATAAAGCATTGAAAATAAATATTCGTTAAATACAAAGAACATTTTCGTCATTAAATATTCAGAAATATTTACACTGATCATGTTTGGTGAAGGGAGAGGTACCGGAGGCAGATCGCCTCCCTCGACCCTTTGGAAGATCTGTTGAATACTCTAAACACCCAGACACGGGGTAATACGGAGTTTCTTCTCGAGATGACCTTGCTTTTTTTTCACTGTGGAAAAACAAATGAGAGACAATAAAAGGACATAAAAATATTCACAAACTGTTTTACATATTTCAATATGATAGTGCTATGTATTCACTGCTCTTCCAAATTAACGTCCCCTCAATCGCAAATGGCTGTAAACCTGCTGATGCGGCGTAAAGCAAAATTCATTCATTCATTCATTCATTTCGTGTGATACTGGGCACTGAATTTTAAGGTTCGCAACCGAGGAGGAGGTTTGAGGGGGAAATTTGACCTGAGGGGTGATAGGTCAAAACGTTGGCCGAGAGGTCTTACTTTTTGACCTATCCCCCCTCTAAAGCCGGAGGTTTATATAGTGTATGGTCCAGATTAGATTGTTCAAAGGTCGCTGTCAAATGGCATGAGTATTGCTGGGTGTGGCGTCAGGCAACAAACATAGATTGACATTTTTAGGAGAATTGTGTATGGCGGGTGCTACCGGTAGAGCGGGACATGCTCACCCCTATCCCCAACACCTGGTGTCATCACTGATTACCAGTGACCTTTTTAGACATCTTTCATCACTATTTTGCCTTTTACTCCCAATGTGGTGGTGGAATGGGGTTTAACGTCGCGTCCAAGATTATTGCACTTATATAGCGACGTGCATGTACGTGTGTGTGTTTGTGTGGCTGCTTGTACTAGTCCGGACTGATGCCGATTTATAGTGCTAGCCCACTGAGATACCATGCCGCAGATTAACATGAATACCCCACTCAGACACGGTATACTGACTCCGAGCCGACCAGTCCTTGTTTTAGCCCCTTAATGTCGAGCGCCAGACAGGGTAACAACAAGTACAATCGTTAAACGTCTTTTGGTATGACGCGGGCGGGGATCGAACCTCGGACATTCCGCTCTCCGGGCGGACGCTCTACCTCTAGACCACGGAGGCGGTGCTTACGCCCAATGGAATCAGTTTCGGCACATAATCGAGACTGGCGTTGACATTAAGGAAATGACGTCTTATCATCAAAGTAGATATTTTCCAAAGCCCTGGGTTGCTTGATAATGAGGAGAGGTATACTGCCTCCATACATGGATGTGCTAATTCGGGAACCGTAGTCACGCGAGGCCAGCATTATGCCCCTTAGAGCAAACAATAATGTTTAACTTTTCATTCAGAATTAGACATTTCACCGTGTCGTCTGAAATGCTTGTTAATCACTTGGACACGATCTCCGGGCACAGCTGGGAAGAGGTCAAGAAATGTATCACTCAGTAGAAGTATTTCTATATTCCTTAGTGCTTAGGCTGTTTCATTGCCGTGTGTATGGTTTTAATTAGAACATTACGTTATCTAAGCTGTATTTTCTCGAAACGTGAATATTGTGAGAAGATAAATGCATTTCACGAGCCTTACAAAGTGGAAATTCGTACGTTCTGAAATAGATTTTTATATTTGCTTCAACAGTTTGTATGGTGACGTGTTTGAGGTTTTAACGTCACATATAACTTTCCCTATAGAAGGTGTAATAGTTTTCATCGTTAGGCAATGTGGATATCAGGGGTAGTAACACAGCCTTAATCAAAATAGTTTTAAACAGTGGGTACGCTCCACTAACTTGCGGGGCTACGTGCAGGCATGTTTATACACACGAGGAGTCTATCGTCAAGGGAAGGGGGCGTGGTTACATAGTATTTGGTATGTTCAACAACACAAAGGGGGGTATCGGTGGTTACAGCCCACACGAGGTACATATAAACTGGGATGGTCTGGTGCTTCGTTTTCTTTTATTGCTTCTAAAAGTTCGTCGCGATTTATTTTTCAGACAGTTTGGTGGTACAGCAGCACTAAACCCGCTCTACTGTTAAAAGAACCGCGTGTACCGCACACATTTACCACGTGGGTAACGGTTGAGGGTAGGGGCCGACGTGAGACACACAAGTGTATAAATATCCGCCTATTATCAAATCCTGTTTTATCCCTCTCTTTCATATATAGATTGGCGGTTATAATGACACCCGGCGGCCTGAAGTTCCGCCCACACAACTCAGCTGTATATTAAGTGCGAATCCAATGAAACAACACGACAGTACCAGCGGCCCGGTGTCCAAATCTACAATGGAACTCGTCTCAAGCCTCTCGTTGGCTTTTGGTGTATTGGGATGCAGTGCTTTGGTCGCAAAGTGGGCTCTGTTCAGAAAGAGATCATCCCTACCTCCGGGGCCAAGTCTCCTGACTGTTTTACGGGACTTGTTCAAAGCTGGTTTTTCAAACTCTGCTCATGCACAATTTGAACAATGGACTAGACGATACGGGGAAGTCTTCTCCGTGTCGCTCCCAGGACAGACCGTGGTTGTCCTCAACTCCGTGCGGGTCATCCGTGACTTGTTTTCTGGAACCTACAAACACATTACCAACGACCGACCTCCTAGTTTTGTGGGCAAGTACATGTTCCGAGGCTGCGGCATCACCTTTTCCAGTTCTGGAAAGTATTGGAGAAAACTTCGGCAACTGTTTCATTCCTCGATAAACATGCACGTGGACGGGGGCAAGACGATTGAACAGACTCTCCGGTCCGAGATGGTGACCACTGTCCGTGATATAAAGTGTGAAGCTGAGACCGGCAACGTGCAACTGCAGGAGATCATTTCCAAGTATCTGATGAACGTGCTTCATATTCTGGTGAGTACAAATGACTTTGTCCCAACACTGATAATGGTTTTGATACTGCTTTCATACATGTGATACAAATAATTGTTCTCAAATTACCATTTTTAAGAATAAGGTGCGTGTGCGTATGCGTGTTTATATATATATATATATATAAATATATATCCTACTCTGCGTATTTTGTATATCACAGGACCTCCTCCTCATCACCCTGCCCCCCCCCCCCGTGCACGCCAGAAACCTATGATTGTGGGTTCGAATCCCGGTTCGCCCCGAATATGTTTCTAGGTTTGTCAGCACCATACCCGTGCTCGTGGGTTTCACCGAAGTGGTAAACGTCTGAGACCTGCATCCATTCGGGCTTTCCTCCCACATTAAGCTGACACGCAGCGATATGACTGGAATACTGTTAAAAGCGGCGTTAAACCCAACTCACTCACTCACTTTTTCTGTATCGATAAGAGGCGACACACTTGATAAAATAAATTCCTAAATACTACTTGTTTAATGATCTCTCAGTGTTTTTGTAGGTCAAATAGCGCAAATTGAGTTGTTCTTAAAGTTAGATGTCCACTGCTACAAATAGCCGCTACGAACATGTCTACAGCTCGCTTTGTCATTTGAACCTGCTCTGAAATATTTATAGAAAACAATTACCCTCAACCTCTTATAACAGCCTTGTACTCCCTCTCCTCCCCTCAGTAAGAAAGAAAATGGTGTAATTGCGACATGTTAAGTTTAATGCAGGCAGTTTTCACTATTTGTCGGTATTTTGTAAGGTCATCATTTTATCTCAGACAAAACAAGGATGACAATCGGGCCTACTTAATGTGTTTCAAAATTTTCATGGCTGAATTATTGGATAGATAATTGAATTTCTTCAAAACGCAATACTGAAATATAATCAGTTCCACATTTCAACGATCAACGGATCCTGGCAAGACTAAGGGTCGCAACTGTGCGAATGCTGCGCTTTAGGTGACTGAGCCATGCAAAAAGGTAATTGGTTTCAACTTTGTCAAATAATGATAACTCCGATTTGTAGACATGACACGTGAAAGCAAACAACATATGATTAATCAGTTAAAACAGTCAGCCGTCGCGTTAATGACTCAGTTTGGCGTGACACTGGTTTTTAGTGGATAACTTTGACATTTAGATCGTGGTGGAGCTTGATCCAAACAAAGGTGAAGGTCAGTGGGTAACCAATCAGGTCGATGTGAAGGACACCATTTGGTTATGGCCATAACGTGTTGGGCACAAATCCGAAATTATTTCATATGAATTCTGGTTTCACGTACAATCGTTTCCGCTTCAACCGCAGACAAATTAAATTCTCTACTTTAGTTCTAAAGTACAGAATAAAGTCTGTCTGTTTGCCTGTCAGAAAAAATTGTAGTATTTGTATTTTTTTTGGGTATACAATATATGATTAAAATGACAGTAGGTGGATAACGATATAGAGGCTATTGAGAATCAGTGTTCATGACAACACCAACGCTTGAGCGTCAATGTCTCCTCTGTCCTGATATCGTTTAGGCGGTTATTTATTGTATGAATACAATAATTTTGTTTACAAGTAGCTGCATAAACATTATATACTGTTAGTATCTACTTCGTGTATGGAGATAAAAAATGTTCAATAGAATTATGGTCGTTGTAAAAAAACCGCAGTGGTATAAATGGTGAGTGTATTGGGTTCAACGCCGATTTAAAGAGTATTGCAGTTATGTCACAGTGTGTCAGTTTAATGTTGGAGGAGACCCGTGAAGATCCGGGTCAGAATAGATCTTCAGCAACCCATGCTTGCCGTAAAAGGCGACTATGCTTGTCGTAAAAGGCGACTAACGGGATCGGGTGGTCAGGCTCGCTGACTTGGTTGATGCATGTCATCGATGACAATTGCGTGGATTATTTACAGACCGCCGTCATATAGCTGGAATATTGCTGAGTGCGGCGTTAAACAACAAACCAACCAACCAAACCAACTAATGTGGGAGGAAAGCTCGAAGTGATATATGACTTTCCATGATTTACCATTATTGGGAAACCCATAAGTAGAGGTACGGTGGTGACAAACTGAGTCAGGCGAATGTAGGGATACCAACCCACATTCAAAGGATCCTGACACTTTGGAGGGACGCAACTCTGCACATAAATTAATGTCATCTACTTTGAATTTTTGTTTACTTGTAATGTGTGAGAAAAGTGAATTTGTGTGTATGTCCCGCCCATTGGAGACAGATGTGTTGCTGTGCATGCCCCGTCGACATGTCCCAGGATGATTGTTGAGTATGCCCCGCCCCCATGTCCCAGATTGATTGATGTGTATGCCCCGCCCACATGTCCCAGATTGATTTTTATGTATTCCCCGCCTACGTGTCCCAGAATGATTGTTGAATATGCCCCACACCCATGTCCCAGATTGATTGATGTGAATGCCCCGCCCACATATCCCAGATTGATTGATGTGTATTCCCCGCGCACGTGTCCCAGGATGATTGTTGAGTATGCCCCGCCCACATGTCCCAAATTGATTGTTGAGTATGCCCCGCCCACATGTCCCAGATTGATTGATGTGTATGCCCCGCCCACATGTCCCAGATTGATTGATGTGTATGCCCCGCCCACATATCCCAGATTGATTGATGTGTATGCCCCGCGCACATGTCCCAGGATGATTGTTGAGTATGCCCCGCCCCCATGTCCCAGATTGATTGATGTGTATATCTCGCCCACATGTCCCAGATTTATTGTTGTGTATGCTCCACCCACATGCCACAGAATGATTGTTGTTTATGCTCCGCCCACATGTCCCAGGTTGATTGTTGTTTATGCCCCGCCCACATGGCGCTGATTGATTGTTGTGTACGCTACGCCTACACGTTCCAGATTGATTGTTGTGTATGCCCCGCCCACATGACGCTGATTGATTGTTGTGTACGCTCCGCCTACACGTTCCAGATTGATTGATGTGTATGCCCCGCCCATATGTCCCAGATTTATTGTTGTGTATGCTCCGCCCACATGTCCCAGGTTGATTGTTGTTTATGCCCCGCCCACATGACGCAGATTGATTGTTGTGTACGCTCCGCCTACACGTTCACGATTGATTGTTGTGTATGCCCCGCCCACATGTCCCAGATTGATTATATATGTATGCCCCGCCCACATGTCCCAGATTGATTGTTGTTTATGCCCCGCCCACATGTCCCAGATTGATTATTGTGTACGCTCCGCCTCCACGTTCCAGATTGATTGTTGTATTTATATCCCCACATGTCCCAGATTGATTGTGAAAACTCTTTAATCCCGACTCCGTTATTCTGGAAACACCGTGTCGATCTGAAATAAACAACCATAAAGAATTACAGCATCATGAATAAACTGACGACGAAATTTCTTGTGCAATAAGGGTAAATAGATGATACTGATGGCATGTCAGACACTCACACTGATTTATAAAAGAAAGAAAAAAACCCCCAAAAAACAAACAAACAAAAAACAAACCAAAAAAACCCCAGAAATGCCACGAATGACATTGTGGTTGCTCCCGTGTTACTGTTACTAACCTGGTGCAACGTTTCAGACAGACCGGGCAGACTGATAAAAAAAGAAAAAAAAACCCCAACCCCCCCCAAAACAACAACAAAAACACCACAGAAATTCCACGACTGACATTGTGGTTGCTCCCGTGTTACTGAACCTGGTGCAACGTTACAGACAGACCGGGCAGACTGATAAAAAAAGAAAAAAAACCCCAAAACAAACACAAAAAAACAACAAAAACACCACAGAAATTCCACGACTGACATTGTGGTTGCTCCCGTGTTACTGAACCTGGTGCAACGTTACAGGCAGACCGGGCATCAGACAGGCCAAGAACAGGCAGACTCAGGGTCACTTCGTTCAGTGAAGACTGGTACTTAAAGCCTTTTATGTGTACGCCGTCGATACAAATACATGTCTACTAACGGCCTTGACAGCTTAAGCTAGTTCATAGTTGTTACATATCAAGGCCAATGGCCTCCAACGACCTTGCCACATACGTGTGTATGGTGTGAAACGGTTGCACTAATTGGCAGCGTGAACAGGTTCAAAAATGACATTTGTACAATTTGTAATATGTTCATGTGCTGAAATTAGTCTCATGTTAACATCCAAACGGCACATGACTAAAACAGTATGATACATTCAGGAAGAGTGAGTGAGTTGGGTTTCTGGCAGCACGCCGTGATATAAGTGGAATACTGTTAAAACCGGCGTTAAACCCAACTCACTCACTCACTCAAAACGTCTCTAGATAAAACACGTAAGATAACTTGTATCCAAGACCCTCCTGTAGTAATCTCTCTGTCCCGGTCGTCCGACGCGCCGCTATTCTATGTGCAGCATTTCGTCCGTTACACGTTCCGGGATCGTATGACTGCAGGTTCGAATCCTAGGATTCACCTTGATCATAATCCTTAGTTTATTAGCTCCATATCCGTGATTGAGTGTCTTCAAAATTGTAAAGTTCTTCGACGTACATCGGTCTGGTAGCCTAGTTGTTTAAACTTTCGTCACACTGAAAACCCGGGTTCGATGTGCAGAGTTGCGTCCCTTGGACACGCCAGAAACCTATGATTGTGGGTTCGAATCCCGGTTCGCCCCGATTATGTTTCTAGTTTTGTCAGCACCATACCCGTGCTCGTGGGTTTCACCGAAGTGGTAAACGTCTGAGACCTGCATCCATTCGGGCTTTCCTCCCACATTAAGCTTGCACGCCGCGATATAACTGGAATACTGTTAAAAGCGGCGTTAAACCCAACTCACTCACTCACTCACTTCGTGCTTTCCTCGTCCAGACGTAAATACTCACTCTGTCACTCTCTGTGCTTCCTGTTCAGCTAACTGGTGAATCCCCTGCACCCGGCAGTAACAACATCGCCATGATGAGAGAGTTGGACGACCACCTCAACAGGTCCTTGAGCATCGACCAAGAAGCTGTCCTGGTCAACCTTCCCTTTCTCCGACATCTCCCCAACAGCTATGGCCGTCGCTGGAAGAGGACAGAGGCCTTAAGGGCCCAGCTCACGAAACTGTTCTTCACCGACTACAAGGTAAGGCCATTAGCTTTGTCCTTCTAAGTAGCTGACCATTTACGGGTATTAAAAACGGCCTGTTTCCGAAAATGCTGCTTTTATAAATCTATTTGTTTATTGTTATCTTGCTTGATCGACATTATGGGGGAACCCGTGAAGATCCGGGTTAGAATAGGTCTTCAGCAAACCATGCTTGCCGTAAAAGGCGACTATGCTTGTCGTAAGAGGCGACGAACGGGATCGGGTTGTCATGCTCGCTGACTTGGTTGATGCATGTCATCGATCCCAATTGCGTGGATCGATGCACATGGTGTCAATCACTGGATTGTCTGGTACAGACTCGATTATTTACAGATCGCCGTCATATAGCTGGAATATTGCTAAGTGCGGCGTTAAACAACAAACAAACAAACAAACATTATAGGGATAAAACAACGGCGTCAGCACACGCGAACACACACGCACGCACGCATACACGCACGCACGCACGCACGCACGCACACACACACACCGTTCAGTGTAGGTTAGGGTATTCCTTGTTCACATGTACTTATTAGTATACCAAAAACGTTGGGTAGCTCTGTACTTGAAGCCAAAGACCCTGGTTTTAACCCTTCCCACTGCCCCTCGGTACAATGCGTGGAGCCTATTTCTAGTGCCCCCCGCCGCAACATGCCTGGGATATTGCTATCAGATGCATAAAAACTCACTCACTATAATCCCCTGTACGCGAAGGTGTGTCTGACAATAATTAATTTCCTGTTAAGGTCAACTTCCGGTCCGGAAATGGTGTCATTGATAAGTTTCTGGAAGAGGCCTCCAAAGAAGACTCCCCGGTGACGAAAGATGACGTCCTCGCCCTCATTTTCGAACTGGTGGCTGCCGGTAGGTGTCACTATGTACTATGCGACCCGTTAAGATCCGGGTTAGGATAGGTCTTCAGCAACCCATGCTGGCCGTTAAAGGAGATTATGCTTGTCGTAAGAGGCGACGAACGGGATCGAATGGTCAGGCTCGCTTGGCTTGTTGTTTAAACGCCGCACTCAACAACGCTGCTTGCCTATCTTCCTTTGTGTACTTCCTGCAGGGTACGTGACGTCCAAGTCCACGCTGCTTGCTTATCTTCCTTTGTGTACTTCCTACAGGGTACGTGACGTCCAAGTCAACGCTGCTTGCTTATCTTCCTTTGTGTATTTCCTGCAGGGTACGTGACGTCCAAGTCAACGCTGCCTCCTTATCCTACTTTATGTACTTCCTACAGGGTACGTGACGTCCAAGTCAACGCTGCCTCCTTATCCTACTTTATGTACTTCCTACAGGGTACGTGACGTCCAAGTCCACGCTGCCTCCTTATCCTACTTTATGTATTTCCTGCAGGGTACGTGACGTCCATGTCCACGCTGCCTGCTTATCTTCCTTTGTGTACTTCCTGCAGGGTACGTGACGTTCATGTCCACGCTGCTTGCTCATCCTACTTTATGTATTTCCTGCAGGGTACGTGACGTCCAAGTCAACGCTGCCTGCCTATCTTCCTTTGTGTACTTCCTGCAGGGTACGTGACGTCCATGTCCACGCTGCTTGCGTATTCCCCCCCCCCCCCCCCCCCCCCTGTACTTCCTTCAGGGTACGTGACGTCCAAGTCAACGCTGTTTGCTTTTCCTACTTTGTGTACTTCCTGCAGGGTACGTGACGTCCATGTCCACGCTGCCTGCTTATCTTCCTTTGTGTACTTCCTACAGGGTACGTGACGTCCATGTCCACGCTGCCTGCTTATCTTCCTTTGTGTACTTCCTGCAGGGTACGTGACGTCCATGTCCACGCTGCTTGCTTATCCTACTTTATGTATTTCCTGCAGGGTACGTGACGTCCAAGTCAACGCTGCCTGCCTACTTTCCTTTGTGTACTTCCTGCAGGGTACGTGACGTCCAAGTCCACGCTGCTTGCTTATCTTCCTTTGGGTACTTCCTACAGGGTACGTGACGTCCAAGTCCACGCTGCTTGCTTATCTTCCTTTGTGTACTTCCTACAGGGTACGTGACATCCAAGTCCACGCTGCTTGCTTATCTTTCTTTGTGTACTTCCTTCAGGGTACGTGACGTCCAAGTCCACGCTGCTTGCTTATCTTCCTTTGTGTACTTCCTGCAGGGTACGTGACGTCCAAGTCCACGCTGCTTGCTAATCTTCCTTTGTGTACTTCCTGCAGGGTACGTGACGTCCAAGTCCACGCTGCCTCCCTATCCTACTTTATGTACTTCCTGCAGGGTACGTGACGTCCAAGTCAACGCTGCTTGCTTATTTTCCCCCTGTTGTACTTCCTACAGGGTACGTGACGTCCATGTCCACGCTGCCTCCTTATCCTACTTTATGTATTTCCTGCAGGGTACGTGACGTCCAAATCAACGCTGCCTGCTTATCTTCCTTTGTGTACTTCCTACAGGGTACGTGACGTCCAAGTCAACGCAGCTTGCTTATCTTTTTTTGTGTACTTCCTGCAGGGTACGTGACGTCCAAGTCAACGCTCCTTGGAATGATGCTGACCGTCCTACACAGACCGGACATCCAACAGAGGCTGCAGAAGGAGATCGACGAGGTCATTGGTGACAGGGTCCCCTGTCTGAACGACCACGACAACATACCGTACTTTGATGCTCTTCTCTTTGAAATGATGCGATACACGAGCCAACTGCCTTTGGGGTTGCCGCACATGGTCAGAGAAGAGATTGATTACGAAGGATGGCGGATCCCCAAAGAATCCTTGGTAAGAATATTAAGCCGGCGCTCATATAAATATTTATTTTTCTGCTACAATATCGCTTAAAGCGGTGTAAAATCAAACTCACTCACTTTTACGAGCTCTGTCTGCTCAAAAGCTCAACTTTATTACTGCAATGGTCTGTCAATAAAATTCAGCTAATGCTGAACCGATTATATTTCTAATGCTAGTCACAACATGGCTGCAATACTGCCGATGTAACTCGCTCACTCGCTGATGTAACGTGGACATCGAAACACATTGGGTGGTAGTTCGTTGGAAAATAACACTGACGCACATTATTTGGTTTAAAATAAATACATGTAGGATGGTCGTGTAATGTGTCTTTAGGTGACGCTGATGTCTAAAGCGATGTAATCGCTCTGAAAAGTTGCGTCCCTTAGATGTGCAGGATCCGATGATAGAAGGCTCGAATTCCAGTTCAATCACATTATGATCCTTGGTTTGTCAGCACAAAACCCATATTTTACAAAAGTGGAAATCGTCTAGTCCTCTGTCAAGTGTCCCCCATGTTAAGGTGACACGCCGTCATATAACTAGAATGCATCAACATGAATCTCACTCACTCCCTCACACAAATGACAGATGTTCCTCTCCGGTTTCAGCTCCTGCCGAACCTGTACTATATGAACCATGATCCCAGCGTGTGGGAGGATCCTTGGCTGTTCCGTCCGGAGAGGTTCCTGGAAGAAGATGGCAGTCTCGTTAGCCCTTTAAGTGAGGCAAGACAAAGGTAGGACATAAAACACCAACGCAAGAGCATAATCAGTCCGAAACACATTCCACTGAACGTAAAAGGCAAAATAGCGGTGAAAATTATATGAATGAATCACTGAAAATCAGGGGGCACGAGTGGCCCAGTCGTCTAAGGCGCCGCGATTCGCTGTGCAGAGTTGCGTCCCTTGGGCAAGCCAGAAACCTATGATTGTGGGTTCGAATCCCGGTTCGCCCCGATTATGTTTCTAGGTTTGTCAGCACCATACCCGTGCTCGTGGGTTTCACCGAAGTGGTAAACGTCTGAGACCTGCATCACTTCGGGCTTTCCTCCCACATTAAGCTGACACGCCGCGATTTAACTGGAATACTGTTGAAAGCGGCGTTAAATCCAACTCACTCACTCACTTACTCACTGAAAAGCAGTGATGACACCAAGTGTAAGCTGAGTTGTGGCAATGCATCTTCCCGAGACAAGGGAGTTAACTGACTATACAAGTCCAGTTTCTTATAGTCAGTTAACGCCCTTGGGAAGATGGTGGAAATGTATATAGCATCTGAGTGAGTGCGGATTAATGACGTGGCATGGATATTGATATGACAAACCAAACACATACAGAGGAAAGCCATGCTCGCTCATCACTTATGTTATCTATATAGAAAAACAACATGGTATTTGTGTACATTTTAAAATTAAGGCGATACCCCCTTTTAGACCAGCAGATGCCAGCCTAAAATTTTACTGGTTTTGATAAAATCAATATTTATTCCAGGTTTGTGCAATTCGGGGTAGGGAAGCGTAGCTGTCCTGGTCAAAACTTCGCCCGGTCCCGAATCTTCATGTTCATTGCTACGGTCTTTCAACAATTTGAGTTTTTACCACCCGACGACGAACCACTTCCGTCCTTCAACCCTGCCGACTGGGAACCCGGCCTCATTCTGATGCCAGAGTACGTGCATTGTAAAGTACGATGTAGAAAAACAGGTGGAACGGGGTAGATTGTGGCTGGTTGTTGTTTTGTAAACATTCAGTTTGTTTTTATTCCAACAGAACAAGATTTTTATTGAATCAATTGAACGTGTTTGTTTAGTGACAAGATTAGACAATTTTATCGTGAGAGCAATAAAATCGTTTTGACAATTTCATTTTCGGGTATCGAAAATAGGATATAAAGCACACAATAACACCCCCAACGACCCTAGAACAAGCAATAGATGCCATATCTCGGATCCCATCATCTCATAGTCTCACTCAGCGCTTTAAGGGATTAAATAAAGGTATTCAGGGTTCACGACCTCGATTTCGGCCTTGGTGGGCGTGGTAAGACCTGTTGGGGTATAGGTAACACCGTCAGACCGAGGGACCGTAAGACTACTTTTCGAACTTCCCCCGCCTCTTTCCGCCAGAGTAGTCTTACTACACTACGACAAGACCAAATTTGAGGTCATAAACCGACATCTTCTTTGACTGATGCACACATGAATCAAAGAGGTTAATTTGATTCCTATGCCACTATTATGCCACAAACGTGGCTTGTCCAATGGTCGGCCCTTGATGTCGTAGTGTAGTAATATTGGAAATGCCATTGTCATGAAATGACATCGAAGTCTTTCAACAAGAATCAACTTGACTGGTGTTTCCTTATTCTTTTAGAACCATTCTTGAGCTCAAAAGGGTACCGCATCGGATATGTTTAGGAGATGAACTTCATAGTGGATGGCCTTAACTTTTGCCTGGTTGCACTGTTCATTGTTCTGCGTATGTTCATTGTTCTGCGTCTGTGTTGCGTTGTCAAGGTCACCCAGGAATATACTGATTTATACATGTGTTCATATTGTTCAGCATACACTGTGACGTATCCCGACCTTATTGGTTTATAGGCATTTCATTTCACGGTTAATGTCTTGTTTGTTTGTGTCTGTCAAATATTTATTAATTTCACATGGCCAGTATGCATTATCCTTATGGAATATAATGCACAGTTTTATTGTGATGTCTTTTTATATGATAATGGAATTTGTTATATGTGAACATAAACTGTACCCGGTAAAGATGTTACAAGAAAATATAATATTTCATTGTTTACACTTCTTTAAAGTACTAATAAGAACATTATTATGTCTTTTATATTTACATGTACTGACGACCAAAAGAAACATTACCATAGTTTAAAATCACTCTACTTTAAAAACCACAAAAGATAGATGCATGAAGTAAAATGTATTGAAAAAGTCATTCAGCATCCGGTATTGTCATGACAGTTGCCCTAATTGTCGTGGGGTGTCAAGAACAAGCTTTCAGCGTAATGGACCAAGGGCGCACACATAAGTTCAATTACACGTCACATTAATAGCGTGTAATTGAATAGCGTGGATAACCACCCCCTGCTACAAGACACGCGCACAGAAAAACTCGGTCGTCTGATGACGTCACTTGGGATACGTCACCATTCCTCTTGGAGGGCCTGGAACAGTTCCTGTCAATTGGCTGGAGTAAGTGGTTTCTGTCGAACACGACGATAGCTGTCCTCTGTAAGGCTCGAATTCCTTGAGCTCTGAGTCGCCAGGCCACTGTCTGTCGACTAACCACATGTCCTACCTAAAGCAGTTGTCGCTGATGACGTCACTGTCAGGAATCGATTCCGGACATGCAAAGTACGCAAGTACAGGTCTTCATTGGGCGTAGTTACCCAGGATCTGCCTGTTCTTGGCCTGTCTGGTGTCTGCTCGGTCTGTCTGTAACGTTCCGTCAGGTTAGGTACAGCAACATGGGAGCAACCAAACGTTCCAACAATGTGGGCATGGGTGGCTCCCATTTGTATCATACAAAGTTTCTTTAAGCCGTCAGTTCTAAAACAAAATGCGAACTTATCAAAATTTATCAAAAGTTATCAAGATTTTATAAGAATAATTTAAAAAAAAGTCCCGTTACAAACCTAGATATTTGAATCAAGTATTGTCACGTGGTTGTAATTCTCCATGCGAGATGTATCCGATTCGTTAAACGTGTTTAGATTGGTTTCCGCTGTAACGTTGTCCTGATTGGTTTATCGATGTGTTGTTACCTTTGTCCTGACTGGTTGATCGCTGTGACGCTTAGCGAATAAGCTTTTGATATTTCTCTGCAGTTCAAAACCGTCCATTTCAAATCTTCAAATTTTTATATGTGGACAAATATTTGGTATGGCCGGAGTGGTGCCATTGGTAACATGTTGTAACACATAACTGGAAATAAAATAATGTCCAAAATGAGATTGTTATGATGTTACTGCGACATTTAGTTACAGGCAGAAGTAAATATGATCATATCAATTATTGAAAGTTGTAAACCTATAGAAAGTGTTTTCTGTGTTGTGATTGGCTAATTTGGGTCACATGACCAAATGTCAAAGGGTGAAAATATGATTTGCATTCCCTGAAGCAAGCGACCGAATCACAGTGTAGGAATACATAATTACTCAGCATTTTTTGCATACTAATTAACAATGGACGCAAATTGAAATACAAAATTAACATTGATAATAACATGAAAATAATGACTATAAAGATTTTCTACCTGCATACACAACAAACCACATTTCAGGAGAAACCGGGGAACATGTTTGTTTGTTTGTTTGTTTGTTTTTGATGCCGCTAAATACATTTCTGGGTGAAAAAAAGAAAGTTTTCTTTCTATTTCAAATTGCTTTTTATGATTTATGGCGAATGCAAACATGTCACATTAACAACACAAATCTCACCAGAAGAGTTTTATTTTATTTGAAATTCAATTTAAATTCATGAGTTCCATCTTTAAATCTTGAATTGAGTTCGGTTAACGCCGTCAAGCCTTGTTTAGGGGTCAACGCCGTCAAGCCTAGTTTAGGGTTTAACGCCGTATGTAATTGACCACCCTACAGTTGTCCACAGTTGTGCTTACTTGTCGGTACACAAATAATGAGGGAGTACGTGACAACTTTGGCGTACACCTTTTCCTGTAGGGGTATCAGCTCGCCTGCTTACATGATACTTCTGCTCCTCTATTGTAAGCTAAGCGTCATGGGCCGTTGAAAAACAGGTATTTGTTGTAAACAGGCACACAGGTAGATGACCCTAAGAGATAACCCGTTTCACTCATAAACTAATACCAATACTCATCAGTAAGCGTTCCTTACAATCATCTGTGATGGTTATTTTGGAAATGTATTTTTGGAGTGAGTTCCCGGAGCTCTGCATAGAGATATTACGTTCCAAGGGCGTTCTCTGTTCCCAGAGCTCTGCACAGTGATATTACGTTCCCAGAGCTGTGCACAGTGATATTACGTTCCCAGAGCTCTACACAATGATATTACGTTCCAGGAGCTCTACAAAGTAATATCACGTTCCCAGAGCTCTACACAGTAATATTACGTTGCCGAAGCTCTACACAGTGCTATTACGTTCCCGGAGCTCTGCACAGTGCTATTACGTTCCCAGAGCTCTACACAATGATATTACGTTCCAGGAGCTCTACAAAGTAATATCACGTTCCCAGAGCTCTACACAGTAACATTACGTTGCCGACGCTCTACAAAGTAATATCACGTTCCCAGAGCTCTACACAGTGCTATTACGTTCCCGGAGCTCTACACAGTGCTTTTACGTTCCCGGAGCTCTGCACGGTAATATCACGTTCCCAGAGCTCTACACAGTAATATCACGTTCCCAGAGCTCTACACAGTAATATCACGTTCCAGGAGCTCCACACAGTGATATCACGTTCCAGGAGCTCTACACAGTAATATCACGTTCCCAGAGCTCTGCACAGTAACATTACGTTTCCAGAGCTCTGCACAATGATATTACGTTCCAGGAGCTCTACAAAGTAATATCACGTTCCCGGAGCTCTACACAGTATTACTAATATTACGTTGCCGGAGCTCTGCACAATGATATTACATTCCCGGAGCTCTACACAGTGCTATTACGTTCCAGGAGCTCTGCACAATGATATTACGTTCCAGGAGCTCTACACAGTAATATTACGTTCCCAGAGCTCTGCACAGTAATATCACGTTCCCGGAGCTCCACACAGTGATATTACGTTCCAGGAGCTCTACACAGTAATATCACGTTCCAAGAGCTCTGCACAGTAACATTACGTTTCCAGAGCTCTGCACGGTGATATCATGTTCCCGGAGCTCCTGTTTCTTGTGCTACCTTCGCGGTATTGATGGAATATTGCTAAAAGCGCTATATATTTCTAACTCACTCTGTTTTTCTCGTATAAATTAGTCAATGACACTGTTTGAAGGCCAAAGAATGAAGATTCTAAATATAAAATGAAAACAACAAAGGCCTTCGTCATTATCTTAATCTTTCTATTCGTTCAATCTGATCTATACAATGTTCTGCATTCTTGTATATTTTTCTGTATTCCCAATCCGTTTTCTGACTATTTTGTCATGAAGCGAAAACCTTGGCCCAGTCACACAATTACCCACTATTCAGCACACATGGGCACTTCGTACCATGCTCAGCAATGTGGAATCTATTGTGACAGCCCGTCACGTAACTGGTGGAAGCTTTCAGGTGTTTTTGGTTTGTCGTGCAGTAAACACACACATTGTTACGTACGTCGTTTCCGTAAGGCCAGGGTTCGCAGACAACCAAGAGATAAATTACCCCTCTTTCCTGGACACAATGAAGCTATTGTAACACAATAAGTGGTTTGTTATCAACTGCCGTGCCTTGGGAGGTTATTGGGTATGTTAGTTTTCAGACGTGCGACACTGACATTTTTTTATATTTTTTTTTTAAGTTCTGAAACCAGGTTGCATAAAACGAAACTGATCAATAAAAACACAAAAATGTACCGTAAAACATGCTATGGGGAGGCAGATGGTGAATAAACACTTTGTGACATAGAGATTTATTTTGAATGTGATAATAACCCTAAGTCCAAGGGTTTCACTAAGGATGTGATACAGCACTTTGATATGGAGGGTTTCACTAAGACGGGGATACAGCACCTTGATATAAAGGGTTTCACTAAGTATTTGATACAACAACCTGATATGAAGGGTTTCACTAAGAAGGTGATACAACACCTTGATATGGAGGGTTTCACTAAGACGGGGATACAACACATTGATATAAAGGGTTTCATTAAGAATGTGTTACAACAACCTGATATGAAGGGTTTCACTAAGACGGGGATACAACAACTTGATATGAAGGGTTTCACTAAGACGGGGATACAACACCTTGATATAAAGGGTTTCACTAAGAATGTGATACAACAACCTGATATGAAGGGTTTCACTAAGACGGGGATACAACACCTTGATATAAAGGGTTTAATTAAAATGTGATACAACACCTTGATATAAATGGTTTCACTAAGAATGTGATACAACAACCTGATATGAAGGGTTTCACTAAGAATGTGATACAACACCTTGATATGGAGGGTTTCACTAAGACGGAGATGCAACACCTTGATATAAAGGGTTTCACTAAGAATGTGATACAACACTTTGATATGAAGGATTTCACTAAGAATGTGATACAACACTTTGATATGAAGGATTTCACTAAGACGGTGATACAACACCTTGATATAAAGGGTTTCATTAAGAATGTGATACAACAACCTGATTTAAAGGGTTTCACTAAGAATGTGATACAACAACTTGATATGAAGGGTTTCACTAAGACGGGGATACAACACCTTGATATAAAGGGTTTCACTAAGAATGGGATACAACAACCTGATATGAAGGGTTTCACTAAGAATGTGATACAAGTCTCTAATATGAAAGGTTTCACTAAGACGGGGATACTACACACTGATATGACGGGTTTCACTAAGATGGTGATACAACAACCGGGTATGAAGGGTTTCACTGGAGGAGATACAACACTCTAATATGAAAGGTTTCACTAAGAAGGTGCACGTGATACATTGGTTGGTCCACATAATGTTCTTTTAAAATGAGGAGCGGTGGGGTAACCTAGTGGTTAACGCGTTCGCTCGTCACGCCGAAAACGGGTTCGATTCCCGACATGGGTACAATGTGTGAAGCCCATTTCTGATTCCCCTGCTGTGATATTGCTGGAGTATTGCTAAAAGCGGCTTAAAACCATACTCACTCGCTCACGTAAAAATGATTACTAACTTTAATTTCGTAGTCGGAGGGGCGGTCGGGTAGCCTAGTGGTTAAAGCGTTCGCTCGTCACGCCGAAGACCCGGGTTCGATTCCCGACAGGGGTACAATGTGTGAAGCCCATTTCTGATTCCCCTGCTGTGATATTGCTGGAGTATTGCTAAAAGCGGCTTAAAACCATACTCACTCACTCACTACTACCAAAACACTTCGTTCACTTAGAAACGTCAGTCCGTATCTCGACAGTCGACTATTATGGGAAAATCGAAAATAGTCGGAAAATATACAATACAGAAATGTTGCAGGGAAGATGATATGTAACGGCCGCCTTACAAAGGCCAAAGTTTGGATTTTACGAGCGTTTAGGTGACTTATGTTGTGTATCACACAGGGAGACGTTCGTTTGTTGGTTTAATTCTAGCTGTATTCACCACGGCCCGTAAATAATCAGGTACGGTCAGGCAAACCAGTGATTGATATTATGAGCAACAATCAACACCGGTGGGGCACGATGACATGCAAGCCACAAGCATTATCCCCCGATCAAGTAAGTTATCGGGGGCAAACTCTAACACAGATTATGGCGAGATGACACATATCGCACCTACATACAATATATTAATGGATTGACACAAACGCAGACAAGGAAACAGTGATATACAGAGGCAAAAATTCAAGAAACATCACCACCGCACATCCAATGTACATGTGTGATTTCGTCTTTTTAATTGAAAAGAAAAGCAATTACGAGGCTGACTTGTCCTTGCCACTTGAAATAAAAAAGTGCCACAAAATATCGCGATTTTTTTTAAAGGAGAGCTACATGCGTGGTAATACTACTAAATTATTTTAATACTGGGCCACAAGAGTATGACAATGACATCCCAAAATATAAGTGTGTAGAAAGGCTCATTAAAGCCTGGCCAAGCTTAGAAATGCATTCGTCTTACTGTGAAATTTGCACAAAAAGTGTGTTCCTTATTCCGGGAAAACGGGTCATTGTGTACACATATAGATGATGTCTGTAAGTTACACGGTGTTCACATAACTGTAAAGTATTACGCTGGATGTGTTTATGTTATTCGGCAACAATCATAAGAGAGAGACACGCCCTGTCCCAGACTCGTTTGGTGTCATCCAGATCGACTGAATATATAGTTAAGAAGAAGAAAATAGGGTTCGGCCGATCAGCACTATATATTCAAGCACAATCGACGGATCAGACCCACTTGCACAAAGCGATCTTAGCGCTACGACTATTGTAAGCCTATGTTAAAGAATGGGAGTTACGATCATCTTAGCGCTAAGATCGCTTTGTGCAAGCGGGCCCTGGAGCTTAACAATTTCAAAACAGAGCGGTTCTCTTTTTATCAAGTACAGTAGGGGTGTAAAGATAAAGAGATAGAGTTTGGATGTCAGCACTGTTTTATACCTGACAAGCGAATAGTTCAAAAGCCTAGATTTCACGATGACAACATAAAGTTAGATAAAATCACACACGGGAGTCAAACGGTATTTGGATGTTTTGCACCTTGAAGTTGATACATAAAGTTTAATCCCATGCGCCCAGCAACTTCGCAACGGAGTCCATGTAGTTTATGGCAGAAATCTTCAAGATTCTGGGTCTATCTTTCTGTCTTCCCACACCTTGACCCTCATTGATTCATCACCTTCTCCAGGCTGGTTCACGTCTGAGTCCGATAACTTCATCTTCCCGAGACTGTAAAAGTCGAGTTTCCACACTTGCCGAACGAGGCCGGAATTTCTGGTTTCGATCGTAGCGCCACCAGTGGCTATTACGAGTTACGTCCCTTCTATAGACCATTCAAATTCTACCTCTGATATCACTTGCATTTGCTTCAAACAAAAAGGCGGCGCCCAGTAATAACGACGTGATCGATAATCAAGATCTATATAGTAATAAAACGGGTCTTACTTCGCATCAGATCACTTGAGCACCTGGTTTAAAAACATGAAAAGATTTGGAAAATGTCTGTTGACGCTAAGTTGACGGTATACATGCTTTGCAAATTCTGACACGACCGAAATCTGTACGATAGTTTACGAACCGGATGTTGATTTCGTGATGCGACTTTTATTGGACTATGCACTCGTTGGACTCATTAGTCCATCCAAAATGTAACTCTATAATTCCAGCCTAGTTCGGCAAGGGTTGAAACTGGACTTTTATAGTCAGTTGACACCCTTGCCTCGGAAAGATGAATAACTTGAGCCATCTTCAGTTCACTTAAATTTATAACTTTGCCACTGAAGATATATCAATGTCAACGGTATCATGTACGCTATGATTGAGTCAACCTAATACCCCATGTTCCTTGAAATCAATAACAAGTGCTTTTTTGTGGAAGCCTCGGTGGCTTAGTGGGTTAGATCGCTGACTTTGTGTGCTGGCGATTGGGTGCCCCACTCTGGCAAGTATGGGTTCGAAACCCGGACGGAACTCAACCCAATCCAATAAGGTACGAGAATCTGTACTATACTAAGAAAGCGTTATCCCAAATATAACATTTGTTACAATAACAAGTGCTTCCGGGAGCCATTGTTGTGAAAACTAGCTTTCTTTTTATAATGTTTTATACTACATAAATATTTTAACTGAAATGTGTCACATTTTCATGTCTGATTCTGAAGGTAAAACATGCAAATTACAATTTGTTTTACCTTCTGAGTTACAAATGTACGCTTTATGACAGTATAGTACTTGGATCAATAAGTAGGTACGCTACAGAATTTCTGATTCTGATTGTTTTTCGCATTTCTGATCGTATTTTCGCACATAAAATTCATCGATAGAGGGACAAGTCTTCTTGCAGGTTACGGAAAGGGGCGAGTGGTGACGAATGGAAATGCGTACGTTATAAGTTGCAATTATTGTTATATTCCTTATCGCCGGAATAGCTTCTTTAACTAATAATCGCGATATTAAGTGTCGAGGAACACAGTGAGGACTAGGACGCCTACATACAGTTATTTTTATTAAAAGATCCAGTTTCCTTTCCGTAATACGTTTTTAATAAATTTAATTTATTAATAGATGCCTGAATATTAGCTTTGCATCAATTTACTCAAGGGAGCAGTCGATTGGTTATAGCGTCCTCTTGTAACGACAAAGGCCCGTGTTACCCACACGGATACATTGTGTAAAGCCCATTGCTGGTGTCCCTCATCGTGATGTTGCGGGAATGTTACCAAAACGACGTTAAACTATGCTCACTCACACACTGCATTAGTGACGGGGGCTAACAGACGACGAGCGTCAGTCACATGGGGGTTCGATATGGGTATCTTTGGGCTTTTTAAAAAAAAATTGTTTTGCTTCTTCGAGTTGTTGTTTTGTTACACAGAGATTAACTTAAATCAAAGATGATGCCAATGATTTTTGTGCATGATGGAAGCGTCTATAAACACAATAACTGTTTGTTACACAGCGCCTCTGTCAGTATAATATATTTGTCATTGCAGTTTTACGGGAAGGTGAGGTGAAATGGGGTTTAACGTCGCGTCCGACGTTATTGCACTTATATATATAGCGACGTGCATGCACACACATGTGTGTGTGTGTGTGTGTGTGTGTGTGTGTGTGTGTGTAGCTGATTGTACTAGTCCGGACCATGCCGCTGTTTAAAATGGATGCCCCACTCAGACACAGTTTACTGACTCCGAGCCGACCAGTCCTTGTTTAGCCTCATAATGCCGAGCACCAGACAGGGTAACAACAAGTACCATCTTTTAACGTCTTTTGGTATGACGTGGCCGGGGATCGACCATGCGGACGCTCCACCTCTAGACCATGGAGGCGGTCCTTTTAGGAAAGACATTAGCGTGATAAACGAACTAGGATAATTTACAACAAAGCACTAATAAGACCGGGTTCGATTCCCTGTATGGTGAACCATGTCCATTCAACTGGTAATTTCGGCATTATTCGTTCTTCTGAAACGTCGAATAGATTAAACTATTGATTTCAGTACAGAAAGTAGTCAAGTCTCACAGTCTGATTTCAGGTGCCTCTATATGCCAAACATTCTTGAGAATATTCATCGAAATGCCTCAAAGACGTATATTGCACCTGCAAACCAAAATTCAGCGCAACAAGATGCGGAACACTGCCAGCCGTCACATGTTCAAGGACTATTGAGCGACATAAACGCGACGTGCGTATCTCGGTCGCCATTTTGAATGGCTGAGGACCCCGCTGGAGAGATGAGGATGTGCCGAGGAGGAGTGATTCCGTGGTACAGGAGGAAAACCTGCCTAATATGGACACTGTTGATTGCGGGGGCTGTCGCCTACCTAGTTTACACCCGGAGGCGACACATAGCCTTCACACAGTCCTTAATGGAGCACATTCCGGTAAGCGTACTTCGGTTTTAACTGATTATTTCTTCATAAGGAATATTTGTTATACTGTATATGTGGCTTTTAAATACAAAGAGAATAGAGCCCATTTCGGTGATAGGTAGGGTTGTAAAGTTTTATTGACGTTGGTTCCTCAGTTTTAGTATGACGTTTTGTTTGATATTATTTTATTTATATCAATTCTGATGATTACTATTTCATCAAGCAAGCAATGTTAACGAGTCATACAGCTTGTAATCATAATAGATACTAGATTACATCGATAGATAATTTGCCTACGTTTAAATATTAAACGGTGAACAGTAAATCTTAGCTCATTTAAATTTCTCTCTCTCTCTCTCAAACTCTCAAACTCTATTTATGTGTGTGTATCATAATGAATATACACATGAATAATATAACAAACGAGTAAACACAAAGCTCGCAAATATTATCAACGACACTGAAAAGTGATTGAAAGTTTTTGCCTGTTATAAATATGACATGAAAGCGCACTCGTACAAGTTATCGTTACAACGTCTGCTTCCATGAATGCTGACATTCAACACTACAAGTCTCCTCGATCATTACTTCTCTATCAAAAATCTATATGCCGCCTTTCAACAATGGTGACATCTGGCGCCTAAAGCTCAACACACTGTCGATACCTACACAAGCGGTGCCGCAGATGTAACACATCATTCCGAAAGCCGTGTTTATTGGCGGACACAGCGAGTTCGGTTGACGCTACCTTGAACAGTGTTCAATTCAATCACGGACTCCTGGGCCCACTTGCATAAAACTATCTTAGCGCTAAGATGATTGTAACTCCCATACTCTAACATAAGCTTACGATAGTCTTAGCGCTAAGATCGCTTTGTGCAAGTAGCCCCTGATCTTGCTATTACAACTTTGGTTCAAGCAACATGCACGGATAAATAAGGTGCTGACAGACTACCTCAGCTAAGGGACACATGTTAAAATTGTGTGAAACTAACTTTTAAATATATTTAAATATTTTCATAATCATTAAAGGTTTAGAAAATAAAATGCATAAGGTTGTGTTGAGTTATGCTACCCATAATTATATTAAGGTCAAATAACTTTATATGTACTTGATGAAAAACCCCATATATATCCTTGTTCAGGGCTCTATATTTCAAATATTATGTTTTCAATGTGAGGGGCGGTGGGGTAGCCTAGTGGTTAAAGCGTTCGTTCTTCACACCGAAGCCTGGGTTCGATTCCCCACATGGGTAAAATGTGTGAAGCCCATTTCTGATTCTCCTGCTGTGATATTACTGGACTATAGCTAAAAGCGGCTTTAAACCATACTCACTCACTCACTCTCAAAATGTGATTGGTACAATACTCGTTAAGGGCCCCAAGAAATTGTAAATGGGAATGCATCTTGCAATGTAAAGAAAAGTTGCAGAGAAACACGACCCACGTGCGTCACGCAGGGGCATATAAATATCGACTACAAAGAGTTCTGATTTCGTTTTGGTTAATATTTTCCACAAAAGAGTGTTTTGTCAATGTCTGAAAGTAGTGATGTGTTTTGAGAAACTTCTCGGGCCTGACCCCAGGAATGGACAGATACCCAGACTTTACCCGACACAGAATTATAATCAGGGTGACACGGGGATCATCGATCATCGAACACACGATCATCGGAATTTGTCACGACGCAACTCAGGGGACACAACTCTGCATAGCTTATTGCGACGCCTGGTCCATCCGAGGAAATCTCGTGGAGGAAATACGGCCGAATAAACATTGTCCAACTACATGTTTGTTATAACACAAAGATGATGCATGGCCATACATTATCAGGATGCATGTTTAGGCACTCTAAACTAAATCTAAACTCAATCAACGCGGGCGAGGCCGAGCATATCTTTAGTTGATGGTGGTTTCAATCTCAAGCTTCTTCAATGCGCAACCTAATACAGTGAAACATCTTTAGCCCGGACCCCGTTAATCCGTACACCAAACATTCAGGGCGGTTACTGGGCGGAACCATTTAAAAATACACGAGGCACATTATCCCGTGACTAGTATATGGTTTGTTTGTTGTTTAACGCCGCACTCCAGCTATATGACGGCGGTCTGTAAAATAATCGAGTCTGGATCAGACAATCCAGTGATTAATATCATGAGCATCGATCCACGCAATTGGGATACGATGACATGCGATCAACCAATTCAGCGAGCCTGACCACCCGATCCCGTTAGTCGCCTTTTACGACAAGCATAGTCACCTTTTACGGCAAGCATTGGTTGCTGAAGAACTATTCTATCCCGGAATCTTCACGGGTCCCTAGTATATGGTAATATGTGTTAGTCGGGAGGATTTCATTGGGTATGGTATGGGGTTTGACACGCTCTTGTAAGGTGAACTGTCCGCTGTCAGTTAACAGGGATGCATCGCACGTGATCAGACCTCTCAAGCACCACAGCCGTTATCAGTGATACAATGCATGTTTGGGACAAAATTCAAAACTTTCCGATTTAGAATTGATCTTCAGCAACCCATGCTTGTCGAAAGAGGTTACTCACGGGATCGGGTGTCAGACTCGCTGACTTGGTTGATGCATGTCATCGTATCCCAATTGCATGAATCGATGCTCGTGATGTCAACCACTGGGTTGTCTGGTCCAGGCTCGATTAATTTCAGACCGCCGTCATATAGCTGGTATATTGCTGATGTCACCGTTAAACACCAAAACTTACAACACATATCTAGTATATTAATCAGGTTCAGTATTACTGAAATATTGATTGATTGTCCAAGACCAATATATTCAGGTCACACAATCAGAATATCACCATCAATTTTTAAACAGTACATATTTACAGGTGTAATTAATATACATCTTCCCACATAAAAAAGAACCGCTCACGACGTCAAAGACTGGATTGATTGGTCCAGACTCGATTATTTACAGTCCACCGTCATATAGCTGGAATTTTACTAAGTGAAGCGTAAAATGTAAATTTTGAATGAAAGCCCGTATTGGAAGTCGCAGATGCTTACCAATTTGCCAAAACGAGAACATGTGTTGTGCTGAAAGTGAGTGAGTATGGTTTTACGCCGTTTTCATGCAATTTTCCAGCAATGTCTCTGCGGGGACACAGGAAACTGGCTTCACACATTGTACCTATGTGAGGAATCGAACCCTGGCCTGGCAAACGCTTTAACCTCCAGCCCCCACCTCCCCTGTATTGTGCTGACAGACGCAATCTCATTAAAATCAGACCTTAGTTCTGGCTACCGCTAAACAAGCAGCGAGAACTAAGATCTGATTTTAATGAGATTGTGACAGACGCAGGGCCATAACACGCGGACAGTGGATCCTGGTACGGCTCACGCACAGCGAACAGAACAAGTAGAATACGTGCAGCCTGAAGCGCCGCTATTCGCCATGCGGAGTTGCGTCCCTTGTGCGTGACAAAAACGCATGTTCGAGAGTTCGAATTCCAGATTCGCCATGAATATGTGTGTCTAGGTTTGTCAAAACCATTCCCGTGGATTCATCACTTAGGGCTTTCCTCCCACATCAAGCTGACACGCCCTGATATAACAGAAATAACTCAGTGATTCTGCAGGGGCGGATCCAGGTGTGTGTGTGTGTGTGTGTGTGTGTGTGTGTGTGTGTGTGTGTGTGTGTGTGTGTGTGTTTGTTTGTTTGTTTGTTTGTTTGTTTGTTTGTTTGTTTGTTTGTTTGTGCGTGCGTGCGTGCCCACTTGGGCCATTTGATAAACCCTTATTAATTTACTTTAACCACCAAATCTACATGTTATCTTGTTACGTTTTTGGATTGGTGGGGTGGGCCACCCTCAGACCCTCCCCCTACCCCACCCACCCCCACCCCCAAATAGCTTATAATCATTATTTATGTCTGACCAACCGAAGGTTGTGTTAAAATATTTCCACATGTTTTTTGGTTTTCATATACTCTTTATATTTTCATCAGCAACTTGGCGGAGGCGGGGGTGGCTCGAATGTCGCAGAGAAAGAAGGTGGATTCTGGGAATCACACGGGGGTGAGGAACTGAAAGTCGGCCATGGAAAGGTTCGCGTGAGGCAACCAGTTCGTGAGCCTGTACACTTTGGCCAGGACAGAGAACCTCATGTGAATGATGTAGAAGAGGTGAAGGTCGAACACAATATAGCGATACATAAGCCTGTCGTCAAAGTGGATGAAGTCATTGACATAGATGGGCCGGATGGGGACGTGCAAAATGACAATCAGGATGTAAAAGAGCCAGCAGACACAGGTCATATTCCTGGGGTCAAGGACGAACAAAACAATATTGAGGTCAAGGTCGAAAACAAAGTCCCTGAGGTCAAGGACGAAGTTGAGGATGTAAACAACAACATTGAATTTGCAAAGGACAAAGAACCAGTTCAAAACAAAGAGCCGGCGATGCAAAAACATGAAGTAGCAAAGATACTCGGTGCTGACAAAGAGAGACTTGCCGCTCTGAAGCGAAAATTAGAATTTGCTCAGAAGGAGGCTAACAATGTGGCACCGCCTGGTCGCGCTGGGGTGGTGGACGCCGTGCTACCCGACAGAGCAACCCTCAGCACATGGGACCATGGGCGACTCGAGTCTACGTTCCACAAGTAAGAATGTTGAGAACAATTCTTTCACTTTTTATATAAAATTATTTTATCGCAATGCAGGGGACGATGAGCGTTAATAATTGCTACACAAGAATAAGATATAATATCATTATCCCTGCATGCATAATACGTCTGAATAGATAGAGAGAGAGTGCTCGTGTGACCCTCTACAGAGAGGCATGAATGTAGTAATCTGTGCTCGTGTGATCCTTTACAGAGAGGCATGGATGTAGTAATCTGTGCTCGTGTGATCCTTTACAGAGAGGCATGAATGTAGTAATCTGTGCTCGTGTGATCCTTTACAGAGAGGCATGAATGTAGTAATCTGTGCTCGTGTGAGCCTTTACAGAGAGGCATGAATGTAGTAATCTGTGCTCGTGTGATCGTTTACAGAGAGGCATGAATGTAGTAATCTTTGCTCGTGTGATCCTTTACAGAGAGGCATGAATGTAGTAATCTGTGCTCGTGTGATCCTTCACAGAGAGGCATGAATGCAGTAATCTGTGCTCGTGTGATCCTTTACAGAGAGGCATGAATGTAGTAATCTTTGCTCGTGTGATCCTTTACAGAGAGGCATGAATGTAGTAATCTTTGCTCGTGTGAGCCTCTACAGAGAGGCATGAATGTAGTAATCTGTGCTCGTGTGATCCTTAACAGAGAGGCGTGAATGTAGTAATCTGTACTCGTGTGAGCCTTTACAGAGAGGCATGAATGCAGTAATCTGTGCTCGTGTGACCCTTTAAAGAGAGGCATGAATGCAGTAATCTGTGCTCGTGTGATCCTTAACAGAGAGGCATGAATGTAGTAATCTGTGCTCGTGTGAGCCTCTACAGAGAGGCATGAATGTAGTAATCTGTGCTCGTGTGATCCTTAACAGAGATGCATGAATGTAGTAATCTGTGCTCGTGTGAGCCTCTACAGAGAGGCATGAATGTAGTAATCTGTGCTCGTGTGAGCCTCTACAGAGAGGCATGAATGCAGTTATCTGTGCTCGTGTGATCCTTTACAGAGAGACATGAATGTAGTAATCTGTGCTCGTGTGAGCCTCTACAGAGAGGCATGAATGCAGTAATCTGTGCTCGTGTGATCCTTTACAGAGAGGCATGAATGTAGTAATCTGTGCTCGTGTGAGCCTCTACAGAGAGGCATGAATGTAGTAATCTGTGCTCGTGTGATCCTCTACAGAGAGGCATGAATGCAGTAATCTGTGCTCGTGTGATCCTTTACAGAGAGGCATGAATGTAGTAATCTGTGCTCGTGTGAGCCTCTACAGAGAGGCATGAATGTAGTAATCTGTGCTCGTGTGATCCTCTACAGAGAGGCATGAATGCAGTAATCTGTGCTCGTGTGATCCTTTACAGAGAGGCATGAATTTAGTAATCTGTGCTCGTGTGATCCTCTACAGAGAGGCATGAATGCAGTAATCTGTGCTCGTGTGATCCTTTACAGAGAGGCATGAATTTAGTAATCTGTGCTCGTGTGATCCTTTACAGAGAGGCATGAATGCAGTAATCTGTGCTCGTGTGAGCCTTTACAGAGAGGCATGAATGTAGTAATCTGTGCTCGTGTGAGCCTCTACAGAGAGGCATGAATGTAGTAATCTGTGCTCGTGTGATCCTTTATAGAGAGGCATGAATGCAGTTATCTGTGCTCGTGTGATCCTTTACAGAGAGGCATGAATGTAGTAATCTGTGCTCGTGTGAGCCTCTACAGAGAGGCATGAATGTAGTAATCTGTGCTCGTGTGATCCTTAACAGAGATGCATGAATGTAGTAATCTGTGCTCGTGTGAGCCTCTACAGAGAGGCATGAATGTAGTAATCTGTGCTCGTGTGAGCCTCTACAGAGAGGCATGAATGCAGTTATCTGTGCTCGTGTGATCCTTTACAGAGAGACATGAATGTAGTAATCTGTGCTCGTGTGAGCCTCTACAGAGAGGCATGAATGCAGTAATCTGTGCTCGTGTGATCCTTTACAGAGAGGCATGAATGTAGTAATCTGTGCTCGTGTGAGCCTCTACAGAGAGGCATGAATGTAGTAATCTGTGCTCGTGTGATCCTCTACAGAGAGGCATGAATGCAGTAATCTGTGCTCGTGTGATCCTTTACAGAGAGGCATGAATGTAGTAATCTGTGCTCGTGTGAGCCTCTACAGAGAGGCATGAATGTAGTAATCTGTGCTCGTGTGATCCTCTACAGAGAGGCATGAATGCAGTAATCTGTGCTCGTGTGATCCTTTACAGAGAGGCATGAATGTAGTAATCTGTGCTCGTGTGATCCTCTACAGAGAGGCATGAATGCAGTAATCTGTGCTCGTGTGATCCTTTACAGAGAGGCATGAATTTAGTAATCTGTGCTCGTGTGATCCTTTACAGAGAGGCATGAATGCAGTAATCTGTGCTCGTGTGAGCCTTTACAGAGAGGCATGAATGTAGTAATCTGTGCTCGTGTGAGCCTCTACAGAGAGGCATGAATGTAGTAATCTGTGCTCGTGTGATCCTTTATAGAGAGGCATGAATGCAGTTATCTGTGCTCGTGTGATCCTTTACAGAGAGGCATGAATGTAGTAATCTGTGCTCGTGTGAGCCTCTACAGAGAGGCATGAATGTAGTAATCTGTGCTCGTGTGAGCCTCTACAGAGAGGCATGAATGTAGTAATCTGTGCTCGTGTGATCCTTTACAGAGAGGCATGAATGTAGTAATCTGTGCTCGTGTGAGCCTCTACAGAGAGGCATGAATGTAGTAATCTGTGCTCGTGTGAGCCTCTACAGAGAGGCATGAATGTAGTAATCTGTGCTCGTGTGAGCCTTTACAGAGAATCATGAATGCAGTAATCTGCCGGTATGTCTCTACGTTGACCAGAGGCCCACTGATCCCAGTAACAGTGCTCTCCCCACTCCAACGCAACACACACATGCACTCTCTCACACACACACGCACACACACATGCACTCTCTCTCACACACACACGCACACACACTCGCACGCGCCCACACACATCATTGAAAAAAATCTTTATAGAACATTGAAATACATATGTACATGTATTAATTTTAATTAAGTGATTAAATAATGTCATGACACGATCACGACGGTTAAACTATTCAAGATATATTCAACCGCGAGTAGACTCTTTTCCCTATTTCCCCTTATTACATATCATTACCCAAATCTCGCAGGTCAGAGTACATAACCTCAGCTGTGGAAAGTAGTTGGAAAACTAGAATCTACTTCAATGTAGCTGATATAACATTTTCACTAACATTTCCTTAAATCTCTGAGTAGCAAAGATTATAAAAAAACAGGGATCGTTTTTATTATCGTGTCCTTTTCAATGAATCGAATTTTCTTCATTTTGTGCATGCTAGCTTTAATATTAATCCTTAAAATTGTTGAATTAACATATTCATTTAAGACGTTCGTCAAACTTGAGTCGAGGCTTCAATAACAAGGGGCGTAACTCTGTATACCTTGATCGCAAATCATCGCTCATCTGCTGTTGACAAGACTCATGTCAGTGGTAGCATGTTTCCAATGTGTGATATATGATAATGTTTTTTATTAATGATATTATAAAATCTATAATGCAGATCAACAGTTCAGGCAATTTTCGATTTAGAATTGTTTATCTTAAACATTCAGACCTGTTCCCGGATTGTGTTATTAGTAATTGTTTAGTGATGCCAAGTAACCGTGAGCGTCTCGTGTTTTGTCTTCAGCTACGTGATCGTGCCGCAGATTGAGTGTGCTATAATCGCCCCCATGGGGAAGAAGGGGGACGGGGCATGGGACGTGTGCCATGCAGACGGGTACCGCCCTGAACGCCCCTGCTTGATGTACTCATTTGGGTAAGTGCCGGGAATGGACACCCGTTATTAAGGCGCTATACATTATGCATTATGATAAACTACAACCACTACCACCTCTACTGGTACTTCTACTACTTCATCTGTTACTACTACTACTACTACTACTACTACTACTACTACTACTACTACTACTACCACCACCGCCACTACTACTACTACTACTACTACTACCACCACCACTACTACTACTACTACTACTACTACTACTACTACTACTACTACTACTACAACCACCACTACTACTACTACTACTACTACTACTACTACTACTACCACTACTACTACTACTTCTACAACAACTACTACTACTGCAACTACTACTACAACAACAACTACTACTACTACTTTAACTGATAATTATACTTTATGTACTAACGCTGCTACTCTCACCACTTTTACAACAACGTATACTACTGTAACTAGTTCTACTTCGACTAGAACTACTATCTTTTAATATACCTTCCCCTTAGTCTATGCTACGTGTTTTGTAATGTCTGCAGTTCTAACTTTGCGTCTATTAATATTACTACATCTGCTACTGTTGCTACATCGACTACTACTACTACTACTACTACTACTACTACTACTACTACTACTGCTGCTACTACTACTACTGACCCACCCATGAAGAACAGGGTTAGAATTGATCTAACCCATGCTTGTCATAAGAGGCGACTAACGGGTTCGGCTAATTGGTTGATGCATGTCATCGTATCCCAATGGTGCAGATCAATGCTTATGATGCCAATCACCGGATTGTCTGGTCCAGACACGATTATTGACTGGGCGCCGTCACAAAGCTGGAATGTTGCTGAGTACGGCGTAAAACATGAAACAAACTACTTCTACTACTGCTACTAGTACTACCACTACTACTTCCACAACTGGCACTACTACTACTACTTCTATTTCTAGTACTGCTACTATTACTGCTCCTGCTACCCCTACTCCTGTTACTACAACGGCTACTTCATGTACTAATGCTACTATTTCTAGTACTACTACTATTACTGCTCCTGCTACCCCTACTCCTGTTACTACAACGGCTACTTCATGTACTAATGCTACTATTTCTAGTACTACTACTATTACTGCTCCTGCTACCCCTACTCCTGTTACTACAACGGCTACTTCATGTACTAATGCTACTATTTCTAGTACTACTACTATTACTGCTCCTGCTACCCCTACTCCTGTTACTACAACGGCTACTTCATGTACTAATGCTACTATTTCTAGTACTACTACTATTACTGCTCCTGCTACCCCTACTCCTGTTACTACAACGGCTACTTCATGTACTAATGCTACTATTTCTAGTACTACTACTATTACTGCTCCTGCTACCCCTACTCCTGTTACTACAACGGCTACTTCATGTACTAATGCTACTATTTCTAGTACTGCTCCTTCTACCCTATCACTGCATGTGTTACTACCACATGTAATAGTAATTCATGTATGTCTATCACCACTTCAACTACTGCTTATTCTACAACAACGTCTTCATCGTCCAAATGTTAGTGTGCGCAAGTCAATGGGTTCAGACAGTTCCGCTCAACAGCGACCTGTGCAAACTGTCCATATACATATTTTATATAACTGATAATGCACATCTAGATGTGTCAAAAGTATCACTGTAACTGAATAAGTAACTTTAGGTCAGAAAGTGAGTTGGGTTAATCGCTGCTTTGAAAACTATTTCAGTTTTACCAAGGCAGGCCAGCTTAACGTGAGAGGAATCCGCGACGCTGATTGGCTGATATAAAAGTTCACATAAACCGTTTCGATGAAGCCCACGATGTTTTCGTTCATACACATTGAAGATACAGATTTTGTTTTTAATTTTTCAGATTCGACACAAACTTTAAGTTAGAGGACGAAGTTACAATGGATTTTCTTTTTAATTTTTCAGATTCGATACAAACTTTAAGTTTGAGGACGACGTTGCTAAAAGATACGGATGTGAAACTCATTATTTTGACCCAAAGTGAGTAATATGACACATGAGACTAAACATGCTGGCTGGGTTACAACTGGTCTTCAGCAACCCATGCTGGTCGGAAGAAGCGACTAACGGGATTAGGCGGTCAGGTTTCTAACTTGATGTTGAGTAATGCGTGTCACCGTATCCTAATTGCGCATATCGATGTTAATGAAGCTAATCACGGGATTGTTTGGTTTAGACTCGGTTATGTACAGACCGCCGTCATATAGCTGGAATAGTGCCGAGCTCGACGTAAAACAACAAACAAAAATATACTTGTCACGTAACGGTAGAAATTCCACATTGCCTGGTGTTGTGATGTGGAATAACTTTGGAGGCTCATTAAAACTGTAGTAAATGTTCAATACATGGATTCCTATTTATCCCCAAAAATCCATGATACATTTATTTTACAATCCCCTAAGATACTCGTTTCTGATTGGTTTTTTCCCATGAATCCCGCTGAGAGATGAGGTATGATTTGTATATCCCGCAAGAAAATGCCAAACTTCTTACCAATGCGACAACAATTATATGATTATTTTTTCTCGAAAGTGAACACCTTGAAATTTTGTTTGGCAAAAACGAACCGGGCATAGCCAAGTAATACAAGGGCGATAACTCTGGATGTTTTAACACAATCTACCAAATGTCACCCAGTCAGCGGAACGGTTTAATTGCCATACGTTTATATAAACGCGCGATACGTTAAAAGATAAATTCGTTGTCAACCGGTTCGTTGTGATATATGGTGTGATGTACCCTGTGTGCGAGGCACTTCGAATCCATGTACACTATTCCTACCGGCTCTGTTGACAACTAATAATATTGATATCCTGTATGTTTTACGAACATATAGAGGTTATCACGCGAGTGTGTTTGGGGATGGTAAATATCCTGCATTAGGAATAAACATTGTATTTAGCGAGCCTTGGCGAGCTAAATACATAGTGTTTATTCCTAATACAGGATATTTACCATCCCCAAACACAAGCGTGATAACCTCTTTATCATATAATGTCATTCTTTAATTCTGTGCTTCAAAATAGCTTTCCCTCTCTCACATACATAACCGAAACATTGCGAGTTTTTCTGGAATGCGCGCATTAATATTTATTACGTCACAGGGTAAGTGATGTGTTAGTCGAACAGTGACAGTAGCCAATATAGTTCCAACTGAAATTTGTTTCTTATACAGTGGCGAAGCAACATATACGCAAAACAACAATTGTTTTTAATTGCCTTTCGCGGCAATCCATCTGTCTGTCCGCTAGAGTAACTGTCCTTTGTCAAAGGGAAGCTACTCTAACCCTAGTCTATGAGACGTCACAGCCACGTTGACAGTCGGCATGTCCTGTCATAACGTTAAGAAGTGTAGTCAGATGTACACACAGCGACAAAACGAAACAAGGTAACAATTCAAACATATTTCGGACAAATCCAACTATTTTAATTTGTGGAGAAGGGTTCAAGCCGCAGAGGTCTACAAGCACAGATATGGCTACTGATCCCGCTTGGCTAGGCCTAGTGCCCTCGCAAAATTGTTTCGAAATTTATATCTCTTAAGTTGCCCAAACTCATAAAATGCCTTAGCTACGTCACAGTTAGAGACTGATTTTCAGTTTATTAGACTGTTCCTTTGATAATGATAGCAATTTTCCCTGTAGTTTATCCAGATTCCCGATGGTTAATCCTGACTCGATCGCCGAATGATGAGGGCGACGCCATGTTTGTTTATAAACAGTGAAAGTAGTCCCAACTTGACCTTTGATATTTGCATCTCTATCCGCATACGACCCCAACGGATATCGTTTTTATCCGTTGGCTTTATCCTGCTGAGAAACCTACCCATTATATGATAAATAGAGGTTATCACCTGAGTGTGTTTTGGTATATTAAATATCCTGTATAAGGAAAAAAAACCCATTGCATTTGGAGAGCCTTGGCGAGCTAAGCACATAGTGTCTATTCCTAATACAGGATATTTAACATACCAAAACACACTCACGTGATTACCTCTTTATCATGTAATGTCATTGTTAAATTCTTTTATAAAAACCTTTTATAAACATAACCTATACATTGCAACCTTGCCTGGAATGCGCGCATTAATATGTATCACGTCAGTAGGTCAGTGATCTGTCAGTGGGACAGTGACAACAGTATAGTTCCAACCGAAACCTGTTTCTAAGACAGTGCCGTAGCAACATCTGGACAAAATAACAATTGCCAACACATATTGTTCCATTTGCCTTTCGCGTCCATCCATAGGTCCAATCTCATTAAAATCAGATCTTTGTTCTCGCTATCGCTAAACAAAGATCTGAGGATATCCCATTAAGGGTCATGTCAGAACGACCTTTCATCTGACCAATCAGGGCATCGCTTATCAGATTATGAAAGTGACAGTTGGAATGTGATTTTTGATTGTCCAACATCGAAAAAAACCCACACAGGGTATTCCAAACGACAGTTATGGGCTTTATGTCCGTATTCATACAATCTGGACCATATATTAGGCATTCCAGAATGTTCTTTTGTTCAGTGAGCCTAGTGGTTAAAGCGTTCGCTCGTCACACCGAAGACCCGGGTTCGATTCCCGACATAGGTATATTGTGTGAAGCACATTTCTGGTGTCCCCCGCTGTGATATTGCTGGAATTCTGCTAAAAGCGGCGTAAAACCATACTCACTCACTTTTGTTCAGTTTTTATTTTTTTAATCGAGTATATGTCAAATTATGTTTCGAAGCGTAGTCACCAGTTTGAAAGTCGTGCCATTAAGCTCGATTCAGCTGCCTTCTGATTGGCTATTGTCGACTTCTTGTCAGTCATTCCATTGGTCGGTCAAAGTTCGCGAAACGTCGGTCTGATGTGACCCGCAATGGGATGTCCACAGATCTTTGTTTAGCGATAGCGAGAGCTAAGATCTGATTTTAATGAAGATTGTCCATAGGTCCGCCCGCTAGAGTGAGTGAGTGAATATGGTTTTACGCCGCTTTTAGCAATATTCCAGCAATATCACGGCGGGGGACACCAGACATGGGCTTCACAAATTGTACCTATGTCGGGAACGCTTCAACCACTAGGCTACCCGACCGCCCCCCCGCCCGCTAGAGTAACTGGCCTTCATCAAAGGGAAGTTACTCTAACGCTAGCCTATGGGAAATCCCGTTTGTTTAGTCTTATTTTGTCTGTCCTATCATAACGTCACGAAGAACTACGTACAAATCCAACTGTTTAAAATTAGGGAAAAGGCGCAAAGCCGCAAAGATCTACAATCACAGATAAGGAAACTGATCACGCTAGGCTAGTGTCTTCGCTAAATTGTTTCGCAATTTATATGTCCAAAGTTGCCGAAACAATACGTTAACTACGGCCCAGTTAGACACTGATTGTCAGTATCTTTGGACCCGAGTAGTACCTACCGTTTTTATCCGTTGGCTTAATCCTTCCGAAAAACCTAATTATTACATGATAAATGGAGAATATTTACTGAATATTTTTTATGAGAAAGACATGATGAACTCTAGCAAATAAGGATATTTCCTCACCGTTTGTTTGGCTGTGGATGTCACTCACATGTAGTCCAATCTCATTAAAATCAGATCTTAGCTCTCGCTATCGCTAAACAAAGATCTGAGGACATCCCATTACGGGTCATGTCAGAACGAGCTTTCATCCAACCAATCAAAGCGTCGCTTACCAGATCATGAAAGTGACAGTCGGAATGTGTTTTCTAATCATGCAACCTCGAAAACGTTAACACGGGGTATTCCGAACGACAGTTACGCCCCGTACGACTGATTCCGTCAAAATTATCGTCTGTCTCTCGCTTCCGTGGGATAAACATTTGAACGGAGGAGGCGTTGCACAGTACATGGGAAGTACTGCCATACAATCTCAGCCATATATTAGACATTCCGTAATGTTCGTTTGTTCAGTTTTCAAAATTTTAATCAAGAACCGTGTCAACATATTTTTCAAGCGTAGTCTGAAATGGAAGTCGCCAGGTTGAAACGAGTACCGTAAAGCTCGAGAAAACTGCTTTCTAATTGGCCGATGTTTGTCATTTCAGTGGTCGGTCAAAGTTCGCGAAAGATCGTTCTGACGTGACCCGTAATGGGATGTCCTCAGATCTTTGTTTAGGCAGCGAGAACTGAGATCTGATTTTTATGAGATTGCATGTAGTCGAGATTTTACGTGCGACTTGTCCTCAATGATATAAATTCAGAATTATCTCCCTTCCATTTATCCAAACTCAGCAATAGTTGAAGCGATTCGCATGAATACGGGGTGTGAGTGAATGAATGGTGTGTGTGACAGAGAGCTCTATTTTCCACTTGCACCTTTTCGTTACGCTCCATTCTCTCTCGCTCTCTCGCTGGGGATTGATGGACATTAGATATCTATTCATTCGTGGGGAAAAGTGAACACAAAGCGACGGTGGAAAAACACTAAAGAGATTCGGCGCATGCGTTAGAAGAAATAATTGCTTCAAGATTACCAGATAAAACTCTCCTCAGCCAGGTGAAGGCCATGTAGGCTTAAGTGATTCAATCTTGTCTCGCTTCTGGGTCAGGGTGGGTACTTCATAATTCGCCACGCATTAAATCGGATCAGATCTTAGCTGTTTATGAGCTAGTGTGTCATTGTCGTAATGACATTGCATTGTTTTTAAAATGACACTAATTACGCTCTATTGGTTGAGATTGGTTTTTGAAAGGGAACAAGGGATTTTCGAATTGCTTTTAATAATATTTCAAAATCTTATTTTAGGCTAATTGTTACACTTACCTTACATATTAATACAATCGCTATGCAAAAGTAGAATTTTGTTGATGTTTCATTTTGGAGTATATGTTCAAGCAAACGGAACATATTCATTCCCATGATCGCAGTTTATCCTATAATGGGTAGGTTTGTCGGAAGGATAAAGCCAACGGAAGAAAACGATATCCGTTGGGGTCATATGCGGATAGAGATGCAAATATCAAAGGTCAAGTATAGGGACTTAATTCAGTGTTTACAAACACACATGGCGTCGCCCTTGTCATTCGGCGATCGAGTCAGAATTAACTATTGGGAATCTGGAGAAACTACTGGGATAATTGCTATCATTATCAAAAGAATAGTCAAGAATATGTCAAATTTGGAGATATAAATTGCGAAACAATTCAGCGATGACACTAGCCCTACGGGATCAGTATCCATATCTGTGCTTGTAGATCTTTGCGGCTTGGAACCTTTTCCCCAAATTAAAACAGTTGGATTTGACCGAAATATGTCCGAATTGTTACCTTGTTTCGTCTTGTCGCTGTATGCACATCTGACTGCACTTTGTAACGTTATGACACGACCGGTAGACTCTGTCAACAAACGTGGCGTCTTATAGACTTTGTGTTAGAGTAGTTTTCCTTTGATAAAGGACAATTACTCCAGCGGTAAGACCAAAGGGTTGCCGCGAAAGGCAAGTAGAAACAATTTGTGTAGGCAATTGTTGTAGTCACTGTATGGCAATTGTTGAAGGCACTGCATAAGAAACAGGTTTCAGCTGGAACTGTATTGACTGTTCTCACTGTCCGAGTGACACATTACTTAACTTCTGACCTATAATATATATTAATGCGCTAATTCCAGGAAAACTTGCAAGTTTAGATAATTTTTGTGAGAGACGCTAAGGTTCGCTAAATACAATGTTTATTCCTACTACAGGATATTTACCATCCCAAAACACACTCGCGTGATAACCTCTCCATATATGTTTTTCGGAGATCATTGTTAAACAGTGTAGACTGGACAAGGTCTTGTGACCGTAAACGTCAGTCAACCGCATCGAACACATTTCAAGTCAGGGGTTTATGCTGGAAATGACGTTTTAGCCTGCCTTGAATAAATGCGTGTGTGGATACGGTTTTATGCCGTTTGGGGCAATATTTCAGCAATACTGCGTCGAGTGAGTGAGTGAGTGAGTGAGTGAGTGAGTTTGTTTAACTGCGCATTGAACAGTATTTCCGTTTCACGGCGTGTCAGCATATAGTGGGAAGAAAGCCCGAAGTGATACAGGTCTCAGACGTCTTCCACTTATGCTAAACCCATGAGCATGAAGATGGTGCTGACAAACCTAAAAACGGAATCGAACCCACAATCATAGGTTTCTGACACACCAAAGGGAAGCAACTCTGCCTTAGGCGAATGGGCCGTCCGTGCCGCCGTTTAACGTGACGCATTTATCCATTGGCTGCCCTTCGGGTAAACCTTCGGTGACATAGGGATGGATATAAGCACATACATACTTACACTGATTATTTCCCATTCCCAGGATGAAGTCGATGGACGGGCTAAAACGCATGTCGGGAGTGGTCATCCATGCCCTCACGTTGTCATCGGACAATGGCCGGACTCCAAGTGGTTGGAAGGTCCGAACACTGGCCACAGTAAAGGACGAATTGTTTCATACTAAGGTAAGCGATATACCAAGTTGGTTGGTTTGTTGTTTTACGCCGCACTCAGCAATATTCAAGCTATATGACGGCGGTCTGTAAATAATCGAATCTGGACCAGACAATCCAGTGATTGATACCATGAGCATCGATCTACACAATTGGTTGGTTGGGTGGTTGTTGTGTTACGCCGCACTCAGCACTATGTCAACTATATGACGGCGGTCTGTAAATACTCGAGTCTAAATACTTCACGCAATGGGGATCGATGACATGCATCAACCAAGTCAGCGAGCCTGACCACCCGATTCAGTTAGTCGCCTTTTACGACAAGCATAGTCGCCTTTTACGGCAAGCATGGGTTGCCGAAGACCTATTCTACCCCGGATCTTCACGGGTCGATCTACCAAGAGGCTATTCAGAATTATATTATCATACGTACAGTCGTACCAGGATGGTTGAGTAACGAAAGAAGCGTGTATAAGATTTCAGTATTGTTACTTGCGTTACGTCAGTAATATGGGCATGACTACGTCCAAATTGAATCAAGTTTTAAGTTACACTACTGCAACTCAAGCAAATGTTACAATGTCTGGAATTAAACTCCATCTCTTCTCCCTTCATTGATGGAACACCCGTTTATTCGTCCTCAGACCTTCTATTCATCTATCCAGTCAAACACCCGTTTATCCGCCCTCAAACCTCCATTCATATGTCCATTCAAACACCCTTTCATCCGTCTTCAGACCCTCTTCTGATCCGCCAATTCAGACACCCGTTCATCCGTCCCCAGACCGCTCTACTGATCCGTCCATTGAAACACCCGTTCATCCGTCCTCAGACCGCTCTTCTGATCCGCCCATTCAGACACCCGTTCATCCGTCCCCAGACCGCTCTATTGATCCGCCCATTCAAACACCCGTTCATCCGTCCTCAGACCGTCTATTGATCCGTCCATTGAAACACCCGTTCATCCGTCCTCAGACCGTCTATTGATCCGTCCATTGAAACACCCGTTCATCCGTCCCCAGACCGCTCTATTGATCCGTCTATTGAAACACCCGTTCATCCGTCCCCAGACCGCTCTATTGATCCGTCCATTGAAACACCCGTTCATCCGTCCTCAGACCGTCTATTGATCCGTCCATTGAAACATATGACACCAAAATGAGCATCAACATTCTATTAAAGACAAGAGAAATTGGATTGAGAATATCTGCATCAACAAGAAATAATTGAATGAAATTGATCGAGCCAGTCCCGGAGATTACCTACCGACAGCCGCGAACTGGTTTCTTTTGTGTTTTCCAACATCGATTGTGTTGGTCGATATACTCCCTTAGTTCATCATATAAGCTGAATTATTGCCGACACTTCATATGATCCAAATCCCTCGCATTTCCCCCAATGAACACGAATTAACATGTTCTGTCTTTATACCACAGGCTATCGATATTCTCAAAGTCGATATCGAGGACAACGAATGGCGAGCGATACCGGAAATGTTCGAGAGTGGAGTTATGGGCAAAGTGAAACAGTTTCTTCTGGAGATTCACGTCTTGTCTCAGAGCAGGACGGAGCCTTCCAAGGAAGACTACATAAACTACCTTGTGTTGATGCGTGATATATACATAGACGGCTTCAGGATTGCCCGTACAAGTCCTCACGACAAAAAGATTAAATCCATGTTTGGCGAACAGAGACCTCAGAGCTATGATATCATGTTTCTGAGGATTCGAGAGCAGGCGAGATCATAATCTTGGGAGAGAATGACGTTGGGGTCACGGTTTGCACTGAAAATTTGAACTTTAAATCTGATATTTTGTTAACATAGGTGGGGAGCCGAGTGGGTCTGGGGATGAGGGTGGTGGGTGGGGGTGTCATGGAATCCGGACCCCCCTTTTGAAAACCAATGTAGTATGTTTGAGACAATCCCCGCCACTGAGAGAGGATTTTTATATTTTAACAATGCTGGATCTAAGCATGGTTACAGTCGTGATATGCTCCAAAACTAAGTGTTCTATACAGGACACTACGCTCGTAGAGAGTAGCGTGGTGTAGTATACATTACAGACACATCGACACATCGATGTACACCGGTATCGAGGGGGACAGACACTAACATTGAGGGTACTTCAACCCATGTCACCTGATTGACCCGTGGTCAGCCAATTTACCTTGCAACACACCTTATCATATTGCAGGTTAGTCTCATGTATGCATGCTTTGGTCCGAGTCGGTAAGAATACCACAGTTAGGCATTATCGCAGACGACAAAAAACAAACTCATTCCCCAAGACCTTTTCATTCGGAAAATATCGTAAATATCCGGAGAATGTCTTACATAGTTAATTCGAGATACAAAATTGCGGTTCGTATGTTGCCAACAGTTCGGCAATTCGAGCGGGGAACATAGGAGATGTGTGTTAGCGGAGTACATTGGAAATAATAATATGGGTCTCAGCCAATCAGAATCCGACTTTCATGCACAAGCTTAGATGATGTGATTTTCGCGTTCGTTCATCATACTATCCAGGTTCTATTTATGTATATGTATAATTTATGTAAACCAGCTTTTGTTGAGATACTCCTACTTAAAGCGGCAAATAAAATTACTTACCAAAGTAACTCTAAGGTGCCGGGCAGAAGAAAGAATACAGTTGAAAATTGGATTTGACCCCAAAATGACAAACGTTTATATGAAACCGTTACCAGGCTACCTGCTGTGAGATATGATGCATTTAATATCGCCTATGATACCTGTTTCAAAGACATCACCATCAAATAAACATTTCTTGTTTCCTTTTAGCCATCATCAAACATGCCTGTACACTTTCTTTTGGCCGACAGTTTAGATATATACATTACAAACGAATCAGTGGCCATTGTCACTTACTTTGCTGATCAATACAAAGTATATGTGTCGTAAATTATTTTAAAATAAATGAACTTTTATTAAGGTCGTCTCAAAGTGTGATACTAAAATAAGGGAAAAGAAATTGATATATCCTTTCTTGTTACATTTCTAGCTCTAAAAACGAAAGTAGAGTTAATCCTTGGATAAAACTTGGATGATTATTTGATAAGTTTTGAGGAGCACAAATACAAATTATACATGAAAACTATTGGATGTTGGTGTGGACGTGTTGTGGGTGTGGGTGTGGGTGTGGGTGTGGGTGTGGATGTGGATGTGGATGTGGGTGTGGACGTGGACGTGGGTGTGGGTGTGGGTATTGATGTGGATGTGGACGTTGACGTTGACGTGGGTGTGGATGTGGATGTGGATGTGGATGTGGGTGTGGGTGTGGGTGTGGGTATGGGTGTGGGTATGGGTATTGATGTGGATGTGGACGTTGACGTGGATGTGGGTGCGGATGTGAGTGTGGATGTAGGTATAGGTGGGTGGGTGTTGGTGTGGTGTGTGGGGAGGTATATGCACCATACATTATTGAATAGGCCTTGCGAGCTTTCCTCCACTTACTGCCACTGTGATGTGTTTGAAACAAAAACAACAACACTCACTCACTCACTCCAAATGACCCATCTGTGACCTACAGACACTGGTCACGCTGTAACAGGCCGGATATGCCCCAGAAAAAAAATACGGTCGATAGTAATGGAGATCAAATATCTGGTGAAATGGCGTCTACCATATTTGCAGTGCATATCCTGCTTCAGCGATAACTGGTGGTTACACAATGATAGAGCCGGATCAACTTGTGTCACCATTCGCAACGATTTTTTTGGTCATAGAGGATGTGCAAAGCAGTTTGAGTACACTAAACCTGTGTATACTATTACAGCAAACAATGTCCTTTAGGGCGGAACAACCTTATGTTGAATCGTTATGACGTCAACATGTTAATATAAGTTTCCATTACCAGTTGAGTCCTTTAACAACAACAAATGGAGTTTATTAGTTTCCCCGACCAGTTGATATGCGTGCTTTCCCGTTATCATTCTCAACGCCCTGGGGAGTCTACGCTAGAGGTCTTTTACATCCAACACACATATCGCGTACCCATTCCCTGCTGGGTGAAAAGATGCACATTTACACTAAGCCACTTGCCCAGGGTGACACCACACGTGTTGTGACGTGTGTTTCGGGTGTATAAACGTATTCGTGTTTCGTGTTGGCAACTAAGGCTATCCCCTTAAGACTTTCTTTCCTGACCTTTGCATCATCCCATTGTTCTTTTGTTCTAAGGTAGTACAAGGGCCCTATTATTCTCTCTTAAACTTGCAAGTTATTTGCTTCTTATATGTTTATCTTGAGCACGGAATTTGTGCATAAGATGATCTATATATATCTATAATTTATGATTTATTACAAGAATGACTAAAATGTACGAAACAAGGGTGATTTTTTTAACTTCAAGACAAAGTATATTAATGGGTAAGTCCTTCACCCAACATAAGCTTTTACCGTTATTTGTTTGTAGTACTGTTTTTGTCTACATGTAAGAAAATCAGCTTGTGTCAAAGGCTTGCTAATGTTCAAATTTTATAACCATGCCTTTGAAAACCTCTAAAGTCAGCCTTACCGACACATTTCAGCCTTATATACATTTAGAGTTGTAAGTCCAAAAAATGCACGTTATTAAATGAACAACGTATAGTTCTTATTCATATTAGCCAAAAATGTCCCTTAACTGAAATACTATTCAAAGCGACTGTAAATCCAACTCACTCACGCACAGAGGTGCTCGAGAATGTGTTATACCGACTTACCGACTGACAAGACACTAGATCTACTGTAAACAATAATAACATATTTTTGTTGATGGTGAAATTGACGTAAGTATGGAATGCCACTGTTTTAGGATACTGAACAAAATTGTTAGGGACCACGCATATTTGTAGGGCTATTTTTATGAATTGTTTGCTCAATCTTCACTAAAAAATATACCCCCACCCAATATTCAAAATCCCTAAATTCCGAATATATAATAAACACGTTAGAATCTTAAACATGTTCCGATGTTAATCACAATGCTAAACGTGTTTAAAGCTCTATTTACGTAGGTGTCGATGCTGTGGTTGGCGTGACATCCTTGCCCCTTTCACGTGTGTAAAATCCTAATTGCATCTGGAAACAAACATGCATTATCATCATTATTATCTCACACCTGTTAAACAGATGTTCCAATTCATGACGACAACGTCAACGTATTCGCCGTGCCAGTTGAATGTGTACTGTGTAAGTACAGTCAAGTCCCGTTAATCCGACATCGATGGTTGCATATGATTATGTCGGATTAACGAGTATGTCGGATAAACGAAATTAAGTAGTATCAACGTTCGTGATCGAAAATCGGACAACTACACGATAGATATAAGACACGTAATACAAAATATAAAAAATAAATATTTATATTGTTATGTTACATTGTTGGCGGAATATGTTTTCTAATCATGCAACCTCTAAGGTTTAACACAAAACAACTGTTACGGACTGTATGACTTATTCAAAATACTTTAAAAAGCATAGTCTGGAATGGAAGTCGCAACTTTGAAACTGGTACCTAAAGCTTAAGAAAGCTGCTTTCTAAGTGGCTAACGTCGACTTCCTGTTGGCCATTTCATTGGTAGGTCATAGTTCGCGAAAGGTTGTTCTGACGTGACCTGTAATGGGATGTCCATGTATGTATGTGGGTGAATGTGTAACAGCGGTGTAACGAGAGTGTACATATATAGACTTTAGTCTTAAATTATTTATTGCGCTGTATGTAGCACATAGTGGGAGTACAAAGCGGATTTCCTGTATATTTCTGTGTCCATCGTTTAGTGATTATAAGCCATGGAATAAAAAAGTGTTTATCATACAGGGCCTTTTATTATTTGCATCAAATGAAATCCAGAGTTAAAATTAGTTCAGCAAGGAGTCACACAGATGTGCCTATCATGACTCGAACGTGACCTCCATTGTCGATCCGTATTGGAATTGGTCCCCAGAAACCCATGTTTGTCGTAAGAGGCGACTAGCGGGATCGGGTGGTCAGGCTCGCTGACTTGGTTGATGCATGTCTTCATATCCTAATTGCGTAGATCGATGCTCATGATCTCAATCACTGGATTGTCTGGTCCAGACTCGATTATTTACAGACTACTGTCATATAGCTGGAATATTGCTGAGTGCGGCGTTAAACAAACAAACAAACAAACATTAATGCGCAATTGATATGATGTTATAACAATACAAAATATATTTAATTGATGTTTAATGGATAAGGTTAAATCTGTGAAGAAGCATGTTTTATTTGTTTTGGTTTATATATATTATATTCTGTATAACACCCTGCGCAAATCTTTATAAAGAGGTTCGATATACCAAACGTATGGGATAACTTACAGACCCGTCATCAGCATGCATGTAGGTTGTATATTTATTATAATATATTAACATAATTTATTTTCATTTTGTTCCTTGAAGACTGAACGCAACGAGTTAAAAATAGAAATATTGATCTGGAATAAAGACAGACCGAAAGAGCGTGCCCGAGACAAATATGACAAAGGTTTGAATTGTTGGGTACGAGATAAATAATGAATAAATAACGACTAAAGCTTCAGCGCAGTGCACGCAATTCCAGGCATTGGGTTTCCCCGCAAACGGACATATCAATAATACCACAGTAAAGATTGGTTGGTTGTTTGTTTGTTGTTTAACGCCGCACTCATCAATATTCCAGCAATACGACGTCGGTCTGTAAATAATCGAGTCTGGACCAGACAATCCAGTGATTGACATCATGAGCATCAATCCACGCAATTGGGATACGATGACATGCATCAACCAAGTCAGCGAGCCTGACCACCCGATCCCGTTAGTCGCCTCTTACGGCAATCAAGGGTTGCTGAAGACCTATTCTACCCCGGATCTTCGCTGGTCACCACAGTAAAGAGAACTGAACTGCACACAATGGACATATCATTATTAACGCTGACCTCTACAACACAATTTATAGTTCTGGTGTTTGACCCTGGTCGCCTGCATAAATAATTGGTGATCTGATAAATGAGCTAAGGCATAGCCACGTTCAACAACACATAACTTAATTTCCTTTAAACCAATATTTAACGCATGACTAATATCATATTTAGTGTTGTTGGCGAAGACCACCTTTTGCGTATAATGTCGTCTATAAGTTTTACCACAAGTTTTAAAGGTTAAACCAGGTGGACTACATACATTAAATTTTGAAAATCGATGACTTATTTTTGTACTAAGGCGTACATCTATGAGTAACTTGATGGATATTGGATGAATCTCGAATTCGAACCCACGATAATAGGATTCTGGTGGGCCAAAGGGACGCAACTCTTCCAAAGGAATTGCGGCGTCTTAGATACTTTGGTCACACGGGCCCTCGCGTACGTAACACATTTTTGACCAATACTGTCCATAATTCAAGGTGCACTAACAAAGCCAATTACGTAAGCAAGATAAGTCTTTATATATGAATGGAATTCCGGGGTAGAATAGGTCTTCGGCCACCCATGCTTGCCGTGAAAGGCGACTATGCTTGTCGTAAGAGGCGACTTACAGGATCGTGTTATCAAACACTTGATTGTCTGGTCCAGATACGATTATCTACAGACCGCCGTCATATAGCTGGAATATTGCCGAGTGCGGCGTTAAACAACAAAAATCATCATCCAACCCACAATAAATTTCCAATAACCAGTTGCTAAATGAAACACACAACAAGAAGCACACACAGGTTTATTCACACAGTGCAATGTCCCACTTAGACATTTATCGTCTAAAACTGGCTCCCACAGGAGTTAAAAAAAATAGGGCTGTAACGCTTC